GCCAAACTGATCCCAGAGCAGGGGGTGATCCTGGTGATCGACACGGGTTGCGGGGGTGCGACCGACGACGAGGAGATCGACCTCAGGAGCCTCCGTGAGTACATCGAGACGGTCAAGATTCCAGGCAACGACAACCTGCCGCTGAATCCCGGGGGAGCTCTGCGGTATGCGGTGCTCTTAACACACTGCCACTACGATCACATCCGTACGTCCTGTACACGCGTATACGCGCAGCTGAATGATGACTTTGCTCACGGCCGATGAACAGTCGGCGTCGAGCAATTCGCAGAGGACTCCACCATCCTCGCCTCCGGGCACACCCCTTCCTTCATCACACCAGAGAACCTCCCCCGCCACTCCCTCTGCGACTCCCTGAACATCCCCACTCCAAAGTACACGCCGACCCTCGTGCAGCACCGCGAACGCCTGCGCGACGTCTGGCCCGCGAACGTGATCGCGCTGCACACGCCCGGACACACGCCCGACGAGCTCGCGGTGTGGGACGAGGACGAGCGTGTGCTGTACGTCGGCGACACGCTCTACGAGTGGGCGCACATCATCTTCCCGAACGAGGGTTCGATCGTCGACTGGATGCACTCCGTCGACATGCTCATCGACCTGGTCGGAAAGGAGAAGCCGGCGGTGATTTGCGCAGGGCACGTCACAGCGGGGCGGCCCGCACGGGATGTGCTAACGGCGGCGAAGGCGTTTATACAGGACATTATCTCTGGTAAGGAAGGTGTGAAGCAGAGGTTCGAGAAGAGAGGTGAGACGTGCGTCGAGTATATCAAGGAGGGTATGCGGTACAGTCTGGTTTGTCCAGAAAGATTGGTTCAAGAAGCACGGGAACGCTTGAAGGAAGTGTAATTAGCAGGAAAACTAGAAGCACAAACGAGGATGTGTCTGCATACGTGTCCCATCTAGTGTGTTGTAAACTAGCTCTTCTTTGCCATAATGTCTCGTTCGAGGCTAGCCAAGAACGCGTCCGCGTCCTGCACGGCCCTCACGGGTTGTTTCCCTTTACTGGTATCCGGTTCGACACGCGCTTCCAACGCAGCGAAAGGATCTTGCGACTTCTGAGTGATCTCCAGGACGAGCTTCTTCTTTGGTGGCGGACGTTCTGGTTCATCGTTATCACCTGGAGGCATGCTGAAGCTCGGTGTTTCATCGTTCCCCGACAGCCCAGGTACGTTCGCGGCCGGGTCCTTCTTCCGCCTCTTCGCCTCTAGCAGTCTTCTTCGCTCTTCGATTTCCCGTTTTCGCTTCTCTTGCGCGCGACTCTTTTGGGATATGACAGCACCTCCTCGGCCCTCCGTCGTAGCCAATCCTTCCACCTCTCCAGGCCTGACGTCCATTGCACCCGTCTCCTGTCGTACCTTCTCCGTCTCCTCTCGCACTTTCTGCAGCTCTTCCATCTGCTTCCTGCGGGTTTCTTCGTCGCCGGAGAATTGGTAGAACCCTGCGCCTTTCGCGCGATTCTCCTGACTGGCATCGTAGTGGATGTTGAGAGGGTTATCTTCCTCCAGCAAAGATGCTTGTATTTCTTGGATCTTTTCCTCGGAGGGTTGGTAGGTAGGGAAGTGATTGACAGGATTATCTATAAGGAACAGGTGAGTAGAAAGCCCAAACGCTCGCAACATGGGACGTACATATCACGTAGGGATCTATGTCGTCCACATCCTCCTTCTGGTCTGACGGGAGAAGATGCCTTGGTATCTCCGAGCGCCGTCCGGTACGAGCCCTACCAAACTCGTCTTCATATTCTACGATGGGATCATCCTAAATCTCTTGACCGTGAGTTTTTCGGTCATGAAGATCGTCATGCATTACGCACGTCATGTTCTGAAGACCTTGGAACGGTCAGAGACTCGTCTACATCATCGCTGTCTGATTCGTAGGGGTCTATTGGCTTAGAGTCGAACTGCGTTTGCATGAGTGGCTGGCGCAGCGCAAATCACCAGGCAGACTTACATCGACCAACAAAGTCTCGTACTGCTTCTCGTTCAAACCCCCACTCTTCCCTTTGGCGAGTTTCTCGTATATCTGGGCCTTCCTTTCGAGAGCGGCCCGCGCTGCTTCCAGGGTAGGTCTGCTGATCTCTTCGAGCTCGACGTCTCTTGCCGCCCGTTCGTTGACTCCTTTGTTAGACGTTCCCCATTTCGTGGGTTTCTATGCGACGCCGGAGCTGTCACTAAGGCGTACACCTGCATCATGAAACATACGTACGCACTTTGTCAGGTCGCTTCACGCCTCCGACGAGACTGGTGCTCTTGCCTGCCGCCTTGTCCCTTGTAAACTGCTCCTCCTTCTTGGCGAGCTCGGCTTTGAGGTCGAGGAAGGAGCTTGCGCTCACACCGGCAGCGCGAGCCTTGTTTGCTGGGGCCATGACGCTCGATAGAGGTACGATGTGCAGAAGTGGCCAAAGTCGGAAGCGCGTGGTCCAGAGCGACGTGATCTAGGCGCCGTATCACGTGGTAAGGAACTTTGTGGCGCCCCGCATTCAGGCCATTTGAGAGGCTTCTTTTCTGCGGCAGACGGATTGGAACGACTCCAGTGAGTCCGGATATGCGCTCAGTCGCGCTGAAAACCCCGTACGCTGAACATGTCTCCAGCAGCCTGCCGCGACCCGTGTCTCATATTACATCACTATCCCCCGACTTTGCCAGCTCATACGACCCGCCTGGTGACGTCCAGACAGCCTTCCAGTTGCGCCGAGGCTCCGGAGTATCGTAGTCAGCTGCGTATGATTGATTTAGTTGCATCATGACGGTTACAATGGGCGGAGAGACTCAGGTGCGTCCTTCCACTGGTCGGTCGTCCCGGTGTCTCATGCAGTGTCCTCAGTTGTCCCGAGACGCTCCTCGGTTTCCCCCCTCTGACTGCATGGACGACATCGAAGAGCAAACGACGAGAAGTGAACCCGACAAAGATGACAGCCCCAACGCCTCAACTTCTGTTCTGGCTTCAGACCCCGCACCAACGAGATCGTGGCAAGACGAAGAACAGGTGCTTCCGAAGAATCACATTCCATTAGTGTTTTTCGCCCTTCTCCTCACTACATTTCTGGTATACGAATTTGTTTTTCTATTGTCATAGGTTGGCTTACAGACGTCATGTCCTGGCCCTCAGGCGGCCTTAGATGAGACGATGTAAGCCCGCGTTCATCATCCCCCAGGCAAGATGTCTTACGCACGCACACAGTGTGGCCACTGCTTTACCCACAATAGTCGCCGACTTGCGTGGCGGGAAAGATTACTCTTGGGTTGGCAGGTGCGCCTTGTCGTCTATCCGGTGTGGGGACGTTCAGTGAACCGAGCTCTCCTAGTGCCTATCTACTTGCGACAGCAGCCATGAGTCCGCTCTATGGCAAAGTATCTGATCTCGTTGGACGCAAAGCCGTCCTGTATCCAATAATAGTCTTGTTCTTGGTATGTTCCTGCACCTTCTCTCTACCTGGAATGTTGATTGATCTCGCGCAGATTGGTTCTGCACTATGTGGCGCTGCTCAGAATATGACGTGGCTCATCGCCGCTCGCGCTATTCAAGGCATTGGCGGAGGCGGTGAGACTTTTACCCATTTTATGCGTTGGCGATTTTTGAGCTCCACCTATCTCAGGTATCCTGCAGATGGTGAACATCGTTATCGGTGACATAGTCCCGCTCGAAAAGTGAGCTTGTGCAATATTCAAGTCCCACCGTATATGGTTAACAAAAATTATCAGACGTGGGACCTTCGGTGGTTACACTGGGGCCCTCTGGGGCATCGCTTCGTGCGTCCTCCTGGATCACTTCCAGTTTAGTTGCTAAACCTCGCACAGCATTGTTGGACCACTTGTGGGAGGAGCTCTATCGGATCACGCATCTTGGAGATGGTTGGTTTTATTATTCTCATTTTTAATTTAGAAGTGCATTGCGCTCACTTCCTTTCGCTAGGTGCTTTTGGATTAACTTGTAGGTGATGGAGTAGCACCTCGATTTTATCTTCGCTTAACAACCGCACTAGGCCCACAGGCGGCATCGCCCTCGCCCTCCTCGTTTCCTCATTGCATTTCAATCCCTTACAAAACGACAAATCTTTCCGACAACACATGGCAGAGTTCGATTTCCAGGGCCTAGTATTATTGATAACAGGCGTAGTCTGCCTGCTTCTAGGATTTAATCAAGGCGAGACAAGCTGTGCGTTGTCTGCTTAATTAACGCAAACTTAATCTGACGCTGCGGCTCCAGGGAAATCGCCGGCGACTATCACTTTGCTGATAGTTGGCGGCGCTGTCCTCGTCATTGCGGCGATATGGGAATGCTTCACGAGTAGATCCCCAATTATCCCTCCACGACTATTCAGAGTATGTCCGCCCCACCCTTTCAGTATCCTGCGGGCTCACCCCGGTTTCTAGACACGGACCACTGCGATCATTCTGATCACGGTCTTCCTGCACGCTTTCGCGTTCTTTGCAGGTGCGATTGACAACCCATACGTTGCCGCACAACACGCTTAGCTCCGTTAGCTTCTTACTACCTACCGGTCTACTACCAAGCTCTCGGGGCGTCTGCGACGCTCGCTGGCGTGAAGTACGTCCTTGCAGCGCACCTGCATCGGATTCTTGATGCTGAATCCATATCAGGATGCTCCCTTTCTGTCTTGGTGCATGCATAGCATCGTTCATCGTAGGGTTCTTAGTCAACATCCTTGGGGACGTCAGGCGTATTATGGCTGTTTCTTTCGTGCGTATGCTATGTGTTAGCAAACGTCGGATGCTGACTGTCGAAACAAGGCCGTCATGACACTGGGTTTCGGTCTGATGACCCTGCTCACCAATACGTCATCAATGTGAGCTGCTCCATCGCGGAACTCAACAGTTTATATAATTCTTTGTAGTGCAACACAGGAGATATACCCTCTGATCTCTGGAATTGGGTTTGGCGGCCTCTTTTTCCCACCTGTGTAGCCATGCAGGCCGCCATGCCAAACAAAGACATGGCGACGAGCACAGCGACCGTCGGTTTGGTAAGACAGCTAGGCTCGACCATCGGCGTCTCTGTCGGACAAGCAATTTGGACGAGCGTGAGCATCGTCGAGCTCGTAGCAGTGGCTATCGTCACTCATGACTGTCCCAGGAAATTCGCCGACGCTTGCAAGGAGTGCCAGGGTTGAATATTGACACTTCCAGCTCAGGAATTGCCGACAGCGTCCGGGAATTGAAGAACATACAGGTTAGTGACTATGAACGTATTCTTGCCGTACACGCTGGACAGAGGCTTCTGTTGTAGCCTATCTCCCTTCGCAATTTGGTGCAGCACGCATACACCAAGAGCATAGCAGTCATTTGGATCCTCGACACACCTTTGCTAGGTCTCTCTTTCATCATGGGTGAGTCTGTTACTGCACATCAGATCGCACATCTCAACGCTCTCTTCAGTGCTTTTCATGAAGCACTACTCGCTAAAGCGCAAGTTCGTGCAGTCTGACGAGGAATCATCGCAGCCGAGAACGGGCGCGGCACCCCCGTCCGATACCGACGACGCGCATGCGTCAAGAGCCGCTGACTCTGCGCACGATCAACCAGAGGCTAACGACGAAGCCTACATAGCAGACCAAGCCATAGAAAGCGGTCGCGAGTAGCAGCACAGTTACCGGGGCCGGTCTTCTGGCGGCGGAAGGACTCCCACGGTGCCCTAGCAGAACCGTGGGGCACACCAAGGCACCATCTCCGTCCGTGCGCGCCAGAAGCCTTGGGCGGCCGGCGCCCTGGCTGACAGGAGTTTACGGCTTCATCATGGACCCACCGGTGCTCGCAAACATAGACCTACGCAACGAGGCAGAAACATGGACCCTGAACAACGATCGGTTGTTCATTCCAGGAAGACACTCTGATGATCTGGCTGATAGACAAGAATGGACGGTGATGATAAGCTAAAGATTGACGGGCGGGCAGGCGGCACAGGTGCGGAACGAAGAGGGGAGGCACGATCGTTGCTGTTCTCGATCAAGATGTCCTTGTACTTGAGCGGTCTGCGTTGTCAATCCAGTGCATTTTTATCCTAGATGTAGCAAGGTGGGCAAGCCCGTACCGAGCGGGAGAACACTAGGCCAAGACGACCTCACGCCTGCTTCACGTATCTGGGCAACTGTAAGTAAGGTATGACGTATAGCGCAGAAAAGACTCACGTAGCATCCAACTGCTTCAGCTGAGGCAGGGCCAGTATGACCTTTCGTCGGTAATGAGCTCCTTCTTTCGCTTGGACTGGGTTACCCTCGAGATATACAGTCTCAAGGGTTTGGATGTGTTTAAGTTGTGGTTCCAAAGCTTGGAGCGTGTCAACCTGGTTGTAGCTCATCTGAAGAGGGCTGTGTGAATATGTATAGCGCAGAAGGGTAGTAACGCTTACCCATAGTTCTTCAAGGTTCTCAAGATGTGAGACATTCTCAAGCTCGGTAATAAGGTTATTGCCGATGTCGATGGTGCGAAGATTGAGCTAGTGTAGGCTGTGAGATGCCCGTACGAACAGATTTCGGGAGTAACTCTTACGTTCTTCTCGATACCCTCTATCTTCTTGATGCCGTTGTGACTAATGTACATCTCCTCCAAGCTTTGGAGCTCCTCAAGCCCCTCCAGTTTTGTGATACGGTTCGATTGTATAGACAATATCTTTAGCTTCTTGAGCGTATTCAAGCCCTAAGTGCCGATAGCATTGTAAGTCTCATGGCTCGTACCAGCAGGAGTACCCACCTCTAGCTTTGCAATCTTATTCTTACCCAGCCAAAGCTCGTCTAGATTCCCCAGGGCCTCAAGCCCCTCTATTCTCTAACCGGCATGAGGCTTGTCAGTTAGGGTTTGAGTGGTAAAATGAAGTACACACGCGTATCCTGTTGCCGCCCAGCTCCAGACTTCGAAGCGTACGGCCAACACCACCCAAGCCCTCGATGTGAGAGATCCGGTTTTGTACGAAGTAGATTGTCCGGAGTGAGGTGAGGCGGTCCAGGGAATTAGGTACATGCTTGAGGTTGTTGAAGGACAAGTCAAGAACTCTGTGGCAAATGAGCACTAAGGACACGACCTCACTTGATGCTGGCACTGACTGCAAGCTCGAAAGAGTATTAAGTGCATCTCCGACATTTTTGATGCGATTGTCGTAGAGATCCAGCTCCTCTAGTTCTTTGAGAGGAGCTAGTGCTTCAGGGTCAATTACTGAGATGTAGTTTTGTCGCAAACATAGCCTCTTGAGGCATTGAAAGCGCTGCAGGCCTAATTTGCTGGTCGAGAAGAGCTTAGAGTGTATGATGTCTATTTCCTATCGACTATCAGTGTAATGCCCATCGTATGAACAGGGTACCGTACGCTACCTGTGTGTCGTCCGGCAAATCCTCCAATATCTGTTCATCTTCCACATCTGGCTCCCCCATTTCCTCATCTTGCTGCTCCTCGTCGCTCGAGTCTCCGTTGTTTGCGCTAGGTGGCTCGACAACCGCAACCCGTGCGGCCTTCTCCCTGCAGACGACCAGAAGAACCTCAGTTCATAGACAGCTGAATGGATAGGGAATGCCTCACCTTGGCGGAGGAGCGGTCTCTTGTGGCCCTGATGTCTCTTCTTTCTTCTCAGTCGCTTCGGCAGGGGACGTAGCCATGGTGGAAAGTGAGTGAGGAGATGCAATTATGTGGGCCGCAGTGCTATGACCTCGTCGAGATCAAAGGCGTACCCGAAGCGGCAGGAGTTTCGCACAGTCAACCAGTGTGGCCAGGCTTACGAGGACCCTGGCGATGACTCGGCAGAAAGCGATGTCGGCCGTACACAACGTTCAACAGCCTCCAGATTAGCATGGCGAGATTCAGGACGATTTCTGGCGGGTGATCGATCGGAGGTGGGCCGCGCCAGGCCCCAAAGCTCGCGAATGTCTATCCTGTCATTTATTTAACGTAAATACAGTAAAACGGATCACAAATGTCCCTCTTGATTCATACAAAAGCGCTATAAACACAGTTGGATAGATATGTGCGCGAGAATAAAGAATTGGGAGAGGAAGAGTGGAGAAGAGTGGAGAAGGCAGAAACGGCCGGGCGACCACACTGCAGTCGCCTGATCAAAGGAAAATCAAATAAACCAGAGGGAGGACACCAAAGAATTTGCAGTGCTTAATACTTTCCACCAACCCTACCGTCGGCAGCAATCGGCGTGGGAGGGAGAGCGATGGACTCGTACCCCTTATCACGTCGTCTCTCGTGGTCGTATGGCGTCGACGAGAAGTGCGCCTGCGGGGCTGGGGAGGCCGGCGAATGCATGGACGGCGACAGCCTTGTGGGGAGTTGCATAGCAGCATCCAGTCGGGGAAGAGTTGTGCCCTGGCTGCCGTGTGGTAGCTCGATGCTGGGCAGATGGCCGTAGAAACCATGCTGCGCGAAATGCTGACGGTGATCATGTGGATGCGAGCTATGTTGCTCCGGTGGCGCCGGGTGGTAGGCGGCAAAAGCTGCCTGCGCGGTCGGAGAAGGCGAATGCTTCATCCCGTTTAGCTCTGCGTGTGCTTGCTGGGCGGCGAAGGCATCACTCGCAGAGGGAGGCACCTGCCCACCTGCTAGGAACTGCATGTCGTCGTACACGCCGCTACGGCGGGGAGTAGGTGGAAAAGGCATGTTCACGGGCGACGCGGAGGGCGAGTGATCGGACTTGTTCGACATGGCATTCATAACCTTGTCCTTACGCCGGCGTGTGGTACCGCCCTCTTTCTTCGCACGTGAACGGGCGTAGCGCAGCCCGCACCTGAGAAGCCGAATCCGGCAGATTAGTATCCGTACCCTAACAGACAGATTGCGAATGGGCTCACGCGTTGCACAGGTCTTTCTTGCCGCTCGGACCTTTCCTCCATTCCGGACTGTGCGTCACGCCACAGCTGCTGCACTTGGGCACACCCACGGGTGGGTTGCCCGAGCCTCGACCGCCGTTCGTGAACGACTCCTTCGACGTGCGTCGATTGCTGGCTCTCGAGGATGCTGGGACAACGTCTTCAACGGGGGCAGGTGAGCCATCGTTGGCGGGGGTGGGGGCAGGGGGAGTGCCACTGTAAGGCACGCTTGCCGGCGGGAACGGGTACGCACCGCCATTCGACTCCATATAGGATGGCGGATTGGATGACCAATGATGCTGCGCCTGCGGCTGTGGCTGCTGGGTATGCCCATACGTCGATGTACGCATATTGCTGATCGAGGGCGACGACGACATGGGGCCGTTCTGAGACGTCCACTGATTGTAGGAGGGCTGTGTGCTGTCTTCAGAGCTTGCAGACCAGTTCTGAGAGGGGTATGGAGATGGCGACGCCTGCGGGGGGTAGCCGTGGTAGGGCGATGGAACGTGCAAAGGTGGAAGGTTGTATGCTGACTCGTGGTAATACTGCGGCGCGGCGTGTGGTGAGTAAGAGCTACTTTTGCTGTACGGGTTCACTTTATGGCAGGCGAAGATAATAGAACCTAGTGCCGCACAATGAGCTGTAGCCGGGGTGATCGAAACGAATTATGCGTACCGTAGGGTATAAAGATACTTTCCACGTCGCGAGAACCTTCGTTGCCGTAAGACATGCTCTGTTGGGCTTTGTAACGCCGAGTGCAGCTTGTTTTAGCGTCCGTCGCGTTTGAAGTGTTGCCGATGGAGACCTGGCCCGCGAGTTTGGCAAAGTCCTTAGCGTCGGGTCCTCCTTGTACTTGTTGGCGTTCGGGAGGCCAGCTGGCCCACAAGGGTCGGTCTTGTTCGTTCAAAAGAATCTGAAACACGCGGTCCATGGATGGTGGCGGGGGTATGTGCTCCATGAGCCGGCTGTGCAGGAGTTGGACTTGCTGTTCGCTCATGTACGGCGTGCCGCACCAATTAGTCCACCCGGTCTTGTTGACTTCATCATTGTCACGGTCCGAGATGTCGACAACAGCGTGGATGAAGCACAGCACCACGCCGTCTGCAGCCCAATTGATGACTATGTCCACGGCCATGTAGTTGTCGTCCAGCACAATTTTCTCGGCATCTTGCCAGTCCGGGCCGGGACCTTCGTGCCCGAGGGTACGAAGGACACGCGAAAGCCGTAAGAAACGTACGCTGAAGACGACAGCGAATATCGAAGAATATGTCAGCGTCCGTTAGGGGTTCGCACGACACGAAATCCTGCGCACCGGGTGACGCTGCCATGCAAGGTCCTGCTCTCCAACACGCCTCCGAGGTCGTTTCGTGCTGACGTTTGTTCGTCTGGGTGCACGAAGGTCAGGAGGGACTTGCCAGTCAGCACATCAACCTGTTCTCCAAGGTGACTCTGTAGCACGGGGTCCGTGTACACGAAATTGAGGTTCGATGTGAGCAGAGCCCAGTCTGTAAGTGAGAAGGACGGTCAGCATTACAAGTCGAGAGAGGAGGGTATGACGGTGTGAACTCCGCGATCGATGCACGATCGTCTGGAGACGAAACGGAGAGACTCACAGCAACGAGTTTGGCCGACTTTCGGTAAAGTGTGTGTCTGATCGGCGAGCTGCGCAGCGTGATTTGAGTCCTGTGGACTCGATCCCTGGAGTACAGACTGTAGGGGATGTGGAGAAAGGTTGTCGAAAGAGTCGAGAGTGCTCATGGACACTCTGGAGAAATCGGAATGGTCGAATCCTCGCTGCGAGGAAAAGAAGCTCATGACAAGGATATAGGGTAAAACCTCACTAGAGAGCAGAGTAGAGTAGGGCCAGTCCTAGTTAAAGAGGTGGTAGAGTATCCAGGCCAAGATGAAGGTTTTGTGCTGGCCACGAACAGGCTGGCTGCAAAAGGGCGAGCTGAATCCGGCGCTGCCGCTCCAACTATGCACAGGAGCAAGAGACAGGGGCTGGTGCGGGACAAGTCAGTGCGCAGCGGCCACACAACCTTGTAAGCCCACTCGGACGCACGAAGCAACCAGGCAAGGTCATCGGACCGCAAGCCAGAGGAGACGACTCTGTCCGCGCTCAATTCGATCACACCGCACTCGAGGCTATCAGCGGTGCCTGTCTCTACCGCGCTCACACGGCAGCTCACAAAAAAATGCAGCGAGCCCTTGTTTTTTGCCACTGGGTGCCACAGAGACAAAGCCACAAGACACGGATGGCCATATTCAGTGCTAGTCTCGGCGGTTGGACAGAGACGTGCCCGGGCGTGAACAGCGGCGGCTTATCTTTCCCGAGCCTCGAGCCTGGCCACGCGAGGGCATTCTGCAAACCTCGAGGCCGCTGCTCTCCCACCGAATTTCACTTCCGCTGCACGGGTGTGTTGCAACGCTTTTCGCGCGAGGGTGACCAAGGGTCTGACCGCACAAGCGCAGAGTGAGAGTATCTTTCCCCCGCCCCAGTTTGGGCACCGGCGTTCAATGAAAAGGAAGATCCGCCCTCGATCATGAGATCCGCTTCTGCAGATCAGCCTCTGTTGTCTCCTTCGACGCCCAGGGTCAGCCAGGGTCCTCCCTACCCTCGAGCCCCGCCTCAGACGCCGCCGCACCCCGCCGCGAGCAGCAAAGGCGGTGTCCTTTGCAGGCCACGCCTGTCTCAACGTTTGCCAGCTGTCCATGCTGCGCGTCGCCATTAGGGCCCGCGGAGTGTGGGACAAAATCACCGGCTTCCGGAGCGCAAAAGTCTGCCTTGCGGGCGCAGGACGGCTGCCTAGGCTGTGAACCAGCCGCATCCGGACACCCCTGTTTCGCCTAGCGCGCACGATATCGCTCGTCGTTCACACCGACGAGCGCAGAGGCTCGAGGACGACGTTGGCAGCGAGCGCGAGCACCGCATCTGCGTAGTGTCTCCCGCGACAGCGTCGATCTGTACTCTATACGCGATGCAGTCCGATCGTGTACACAATGACCGCCGGGCATCACTATGATCAGATGAAGTCTCGATCGTGTACACATCGCGAATCGTGTCCCATCCCGAGCTGCCCATGATGACGCCAGCTACCGTCCAAGTCATCCATTCGACGAGCAGTGGGCGCGATGGTCTTGGGCGGCGAATAGCCATTGACTGCAGGGCCTCTTGTAGTGGGAAAATTTGAAACCCCTCACGCGACTGCAGTCGGGTAAGCACCTGAGGACTCATTTGAAGGCTCGGGGAGTATTAGTTGCGGTGAAGATTTCGCCATACAAAGAAAGGCTAGGTTTTGCCGACACTATGGCGAAATAACCGTAGGAATCGGCTAGAAGCCTTGGCGAATTGGGGCGCGGCCCGATAGAAAAGCGCAGCTGCGCAAACTTCAGCACACGGCTCGTGCCCTCAATGTTAAGAAAAAGGGGGGATGACGGATAAGCACCGCAGCTACTACTTGCATTAGTGCGTCAGAAAGCAAGTAGGACCATAACACTTTTACCTCCACCTCGAGGAAGAACGTATTGTACGTCAAAGCACATTTTCCACAATCGGAAAGGTTATCTTATCTCTGAGCGCTAAAGCGCCACAATTCTTCGATCATTGTTGACTGGACCCATCTTCACGGGACACCATCATGCCCGTGCCCACTCGAGTGCAACAGGAGAAAAATATCTGGGTCGCCGCCGGCGATGGAGACCTCGCACGGGTGCAAGTGCGTCATAAGTGCCTCGGAGCATGCTTTGTCGTTAACCGTTGACGCAGGCACTTGTTCAGCAAGGTGCCGACTTTTGACCTTGTCATGACAGAGCATGGCCAAAAATATTGACACACCTTAGGCAACTCCCCCAATATTCCAGATTCCAACACCTACACGCCGATGTACGTAACAAAGGCCACGGCTGAAGTCACCCTCAATGACATTTATTCGCAGGCATGCAGCGGCCTCGTATGGCCAGCTGCACGTACTCGACTACTTAATCTCCCAAGGTCAATCATTCAGCCGCATGATGCAACTTCGCCTGCCAATGGATTTGATCTTCCTGTAGGCGGCGACGTGAACATCACCGACGAAGACGGCGACACACCGCTGTACGTGGTAGAAAACGTGGAGACTGCACGTTACTTGGTAGAACGCGGAGCCGAAATTCATCACCACAACCATGAAGGTCTCACGGTATGCTGTAAGTTCTATGAACCCGCGAATATGATTCTTGACGTTCTGTGCAGCCTGCTGGTTGCTTAGCAGAAGACTCCCCAGAGGTAGCTGCCTACCTCGAGTCCGTTTCACCTACTCCTGCTGGGGGCGAGGCTGCCTCGCATGTGCCAGCTCAGCAAATCTCTGGCATGCCTTCGCAACATGCACAAGAACAGGCGTCGGAAGCTCTAACTTCCAGCCTCATGAACTCGGTGCAGGATATTATGGAGAGGGCGCAGCGAGAAGGCCGCGACCCTGACGCCGAGTTACGAGAAGTCGTCAGTAGAGCAGTCATGCAAGGGATGGTGACAGGCTACGACATGAGCCAAGATGCTCAGGACGGCGAACGGCGAGCTGGTGCGGAAGACGATGCGAACGGACAAGGCGTGAACGGCGCGAAGCGGTCGCGAACGGACGAGGGCCCTTCGTCATGATGGTCTGACCATGTGGTTTTCATGTAGAGAAAAGAAAAGATTTTTTTTCGACGTGTGCATTCTACTCGCTTCCCGCCTGCACGTTGCTCGACGCTCTGCTGCGGGTCTGACCAGCACAGCGCTGGCTATCGAAACAACTTTCGCGTTAGCGCCCGAAACCCCTGATCTGCCTCTACACTCTTTGTGATGATTGAGTCCGTTCTTTCCGACTTCTCCCTCGCGGGACAAAGCCCCACGAACTCGGACGGGACGCGGTAGATCAACGGCCATGGCAGCCTTTGTGACCCATGTCACCTTAGATCATTTAGATCGGTTTGCGCAGCCTGACGCGGAGGACTTGAGCGGCAAGACGCCTTCACAAAAGGCGACGACGCAAGCCCGCTCAAAGGGATATGACGGTATATGTCTACCCCTCACGAACGACAAGTGGAAAGCGCGGTGGCGCGAACTATGCCTGCTCCCCGCTGAGGGCAGTCCAGCTGCTGAAGCTCTGGAACAGAGTGCCGAAAATTGGAGGTCGAGGCCTGTGTTCCTGGGAGATGAGGTGACTATCACAAGACTAGGTGCGTAGAGAAATCTGTCGTGTCGGAGGACGGCCTGTTGAGAGATAGTTTATAGATGAGGCAGAAAATTCTATAATCCTGTTCTCAGATTGGCTGGAACTAGATGCTACAGATGCATGGGTGCGTCACGACGCTGAAATCGTACGTCCCCTCTTCTCTCAAGACGCTTGATCATCTCACTCAGATCACTGCCTATCACCTTCCCCTTCACTCTCAACCTTACAGGCTCTCCAACAAGAACTCGCCTATGCATCCTATCTGAACGTCCATACCGCCATCCTCCCCCCACCCCACAACCGCGAGCATGTAGCCTCTTATGCTCGGGCGATCAACTCTGTCCTTAGCACGGTGCCATACATGCAGCTTTCTGTCCGTATGCCAATATACGACCCATCGATGATCCACCTGGACTACGGCTCGCCGAAGAATGCGACGAACGGACCCTCCACAAAGCTTGTCGACGACCACCCATCGATTGCGACTTGGGAGATGTGGGACACCATACGGTGTATATGTGACTACCATCCTCGCTTGACTTTGGGTGTGCATACAGTCAGATACTGCTTGGATATCAGAGACTAATGTCAGTCCTAGCCCTGGATCTCACGCCGCCACTGCCCACGTCCTTGGACGTCCTCAGACAATGGGTCGCGGAACCCACGAGACATCTATGCTTGCCTGCATCCACCTTTATTCCCAATGCCAAAGGTTATCCGGTGTTGCCGAAGTCTACGCAGTCCTTCATCCGAGAAATTATGAAACTGCAGCCCGTCGTAATTCTCTCGGGGACGGATGCGGGATTGCATAGCAAGGGGGGCGAGGCAGCGTATTCGCAATACGTGCGCCACCTCGAGAAGGCGAGTCCTGCGGTGAAGGCCATGCAGACCGAGGGGACCGTTGAGCACTTCGCCCAAGGGTACCAGGACTATTTGCAGGCGCCGTTGCAGGTGCGTACCTAAAAATCAGACATGCACTACAAGCTGACAGGTAATCTACTAGCCCTTGATGGATAACTTGCAGAGCATTACGTACCAAACTTTCGAACAAGATCCTGTCAAGTACAAGCAGTATGAGGAGGCCGTCTTCTTGGCTCTGTCGAAATGGTCGAAGTCGGGTCGGATGTAGGTTGTGCCCTCCGCTTTCGAGAAATTCTTGCTCATGCTTCGCCGTAGTACCCTTTGTGTCGCCGGCGCGGGCCGTGGGCCTCTGGTCGCCCTGTCGCTGAACGCGATCAAACGCACAAACAAAGAATGCTTCGTATATGTGGTCGAAAAGAACCCGAATGCTTTCGTGACGCTCCAAGAACGAAAGCAGAATGAGTGGGGCGATAAAGTGCAGCTGCTCTTTGGAGATATGCGTACGATCCACGTACCAGAGCAAGTTGACATTCTCGTCAGCGAACTTCTGGGCTCCTTTGGCGACAACGAGCTGAGCCCGGAATGTTTGGATGGGGCAATGCGGTTCCTGAAACGTGAGTAACAATGAACATGAGTGTGGGGTGATGGTTCATGATCGTCTCCCCAGCGGATGGCATCTCCATCCCAGCATCTTACACCGCCTATCTCGCTCCAATCTCCTCTTCGAAGCTGTACAATGAAGCACGGGCAAGCAAGGACGATAAGAGTTTGGAGACACCCTATGTCGTCATGCTGCAATCCATCAAAATTCTTAGCGGTGATGGAGGCGGGCTTAGTGGAAAGTGTGGGCCACAAATTCAGGAATGCTGGGATTTTGAACATCCCAGGAGAGATGCTGTCGTCAATTCTCAAGGTGATTTGGTAAATGGCATGCTCAGGACAGTGATTGAACTAACGGAAACCATAGGACTCCCGGTGACTAATAGCCACAATACCCGCGCAGCGAAACTGACATTCCATGTTCCTCATGGAGGCGCGCTTCACGGTCTTGCTGGCTATTTCGAGGCCGTGTTGTATGGGAATGTTGGGCTGAGTATACATCCCCAAAGGATGGACAAGATCTCGAAGGACATGCTCAGCTGGTTCCCTCTGTTCTTTCCGTTCAAGGCGCGTTATGTCACGCGTCATTGCGGCTATGCGCGTATGATGACTTGTCTCACTTACAGGAACCCCTGTACCTTCCCAGCAAAAGCGAGCTCCAAGTGACGATATGGCGGTTGACCAATCAACGGCAAGTGTGGTACGAGTGGTATGCTGAAGCGTTCCTCGCGCTCCCGGACGGTTCCCCATTGGTCTCGGCCACTTCCCCTCCCCCACGACGCATATCGCTTCGCGTCCCCACGCAGCCTGGCGCGATCGAGGCTAGTCCATTCATTGACAATGTGGAGATTCCCGAGACGCCACGCTCAGGGAGATCTGAGTCGGACTTCATATTCGACTGCGCGAGCATGAGGTTGGTTAAGATCGGGCAGACGACTCTTCATAACCCCGGGGGACGGAGTAGCTGGATAGGCCTGTGACATTTCGTTCTCGTTGTCGCCGTTCCTGTCGTTTGTGCCCCCTCTATACTTGTCTTTCTTGTGCGCGATGACAAACGTTCCATGTCTTCAGAGCTGCTCCTTAACGACACCACTCGCGCTTCCTGAACTGTTCCTCCATGACGATACCACAAGAAGAGAAAGGCCCTCGAAGAGCGCCGCGGAGTTTTATCCAGTTTCAAACTCCGAACACGTACATAGCAGGCGCCGTTGCGCGTCGACTGCCCGCCCAACTCTCGACTCGACTTTCAAGCAATCCCCACTGTCTCTTTAGGTCTAGACATCCCCTTGTCGCTCCCTGCAATTCGACATTCAGGCCAAACTACACATTCCTTTTTCGCAAGACGCATACAGCCATGAAGTCCTTCGCCGCCGTCACCGCTCTTCTCGCCATCGTGCCCTTGACCATGGGCCAGCAGCTGATGGTCAATTCTCTGTATGCAATTTTCAAAGTTTTTCAGTATATCTAGTGTTCATCCTGCCATGTATCATATCCTATAGCAATGATGTCATTGAGTGCGGTACGTCGAACATTGCTTGAGGTCGCCAACGTCTAACGTATCTTGCAGAGCCCATTCTCATCTCCTGGTCCGGTGGTACCCCTCCCTACTATATTTCCTTCATCCCTGGTAAGCTATGGTGCTGTGTCTGGCCGATGGGGCATTTCTGACATCTCTCGCAGCTGGACAACCCTCTGCCCCTCCGGTAAGATCATCTTTAGAACACTTGTTTCGATCATGTTCTTGATGGATGTCGCCTTCAGATCAAAGAGTTCCCTGTTCAACAAGGTACCAGCATGACTTGGCTCGCTGATCTTGCTCAGGGTACCTCCTTGTGAGTATTTCTGGCACAACTTCAAAGAGTGGTCAATTAACCCGGCATACAGCGCTACGGCGCTCAAGGATTCCACTGGCCAGATTGCCTACTCTGGTACCCAGTCAGTTATACCCGGCTCTTCGTCCAGGTGCGTCGTGCTCGACCGCCATCTCTGTTGCCGATATTGATAAATATAAAAGCTGCGTTAATACTTCGGTCATGGAGTCTGGTACAGCTACCGGCAGTAGCCCGACCAACCCCGCATTGTAAGTCGCGTTAACTAGTGTGCTGTATCCTCGTTTTGAATATTTCGTAGGGCTGCGGCGAACCCCACAAGCAGCGGTACTCAATCTGCGGGTCCCAGCGCGGCCAGCAAGAGCGCCGGCAGTACTGCTGCCGCCTCTGGTAGCAGCGCTGCCTCTGGTAGCAGTGCTGCCCCTTCGGCTACTCATAACGCTGCTGTCCGAGGCTCCTCCGTCGGTGTTTACAGCCTTACGGGTCTCATTGGTCTCATTGGCGCCGCCATCTTCTGAGCTTGGCTTATGTGTCTCGTATCCACTCACTAGTAAGACTGTAACCTGTTTACGGACTGTCTAGCACCGCCGTCATGTGTTCTATGCCTGTCATTATGGGATTCTTAATCATTGGTCGAGCATCACTGACCCAACCCGAGTTTCGATCCTATAGTGTGAGTCTTGCCCCCCATGCATGTTTGTAGGTAATAGCGAAGGTAGGGTATTGGACGCTATCTATGGCAGATGCGTGTCGATGAAGTAGCCTCATAATTCATGAATCGTCGTATGAGTGCTTTGTGCTCAATTGAATGCCTAAAAGATGCATCCATGTCCTTCTTTTCGTCGTCACCGCCGCCGAATTGTGCCTTTGTGATCATTAATAGCGGTTGCCCTCTGGCACATCTTATCAACACAATCCTTCATGCATGGGTATATCGATGTCCATAGGGTGCGCCTGGGACTCAGGAGGGCGATGTTGCAGCCTTACAGGTTCCAGGGACATGTACGTTCCCGCCGAGCTCGCAGCGATCGCGTGCATTATGTAAGCAGTTTTCAAAGGCTGTTTATAAAGGGAGTTTTCACAGTCAACGAACTTCCGCTTGCTCTTAGCTAAAAACGGCATGCAGATACTAGTGAAAGGATGCAATCACGCCCTGGCATTCAGAGGTTGCCAGATTTTCCAGCCATGGACAGCTGGCAGAACCCACATCAATGTATCCTAACTCACCCACGTCGATCGGATCTTGAGCTTGCGGAACCACGGCGCAGCTACGGACCTACCCTTGCGGTTGGAATGCATCACAGCCACTTGAAGGAGCTGTTTTAAAAGAACTGGAAGGTCTCAATTCTATTGCCCAAAAATGAACTGATTACAGACTAAAGCGTAGCCTGACAGGCTGAAACCAAACGACCACAGGGTACGCTTCTTAAGTGTGTACTACGCATCCGCTATCTGCTTACAGAGATATACGTGGCACATCGAACGTAAAAATTTAAACCAACTGGAAAGATGTACAAGGTAAGTACGTCATAAACAATCGGACTGAGCACTGCGTTCCAACAACGACATCCAGCATCAGACCGTGACCTTATCGAGATTTCGCTGCGTGCTGCGCCTGCAAGCCGAGTTTGACGAACTTGTGCACTCGCAAGGCCATGTCGATGGTCATGGCGAAAGGAATCAAAACGAAAGGAATATAGCTAGCCAGCAGTATGAGCTTCTGTTCCGCCGTGACCGAAACGACTTTCTCTGCGAGCGTTTCTGCCGTTGTCACAGGAGTACTGAAGAGGACAACAACACAAGGCAATACTGCTGTAGCAGTGGATGCACCATAGGCAAGAAGAGGAATGTAAACTTTCTTAGAGTCTGTGAAAAATTGAATGATGAACGTCATATCGTCTGTCGTCATAATAATGCACTCACCCTTCAGCAGGCCCCATATGCCTAGGATGAAAATAGGCAGCTGGAAGAAGCTGATAGCAAAGCAGTGATAAGTGGAAAAGGAGAAAGGGAGCAAACGCATGGCAGGAAACCCACATTTCTAGGAGCTGGAACGGATAGAACCAGATGTAGTTCGATGAGCTGCCAAGAAGACCCATCGCGCCGCCTACGAGGGGGTCTTGATACGTCTCAACATAGATGTTGGGCAGACTTGTAATGAGGTCAGGGAGCCACGGGGCGGTGTACAGAGCTTGAATGCCTAACAGGACGGTTGCTGGGATGTGACACTGCATCGCATCGATATTAACGTTAAGGACATATCCGACAAAAACGGGACTCACTATGAAGAAGCAGACGTAGAGGAGGTCTAAAGGGCGTTGGATGAGAGATTTTGCGGCCATTTATGTCTCAAAGCTTGCTTAGAGGCACTAGAGACGAGAGGACGTGGCAATTGGCGAGTGGCGGCGATTCAACCAACTCAAACGCTCACTAGTGCGCTCACTACGCGATGCTGCATCTCGGCGCTGCGCTTGCAGATCAGGGCAGCCATTTATCCACGAGGCTGTAGGGCTGCAGGGATGCTGAGAATCTAGTAGAGTTTCCTCTGGTGGAACGAAAGGAGGGTGTTTCAGTGTACTTTCACGATCGTACCGGACGAAATCAGGTTTTTTCGATAACTCTCCAAAATTACCATAAATCGAGAAAAAAATTATTGGCAGTTCCCGCAAGTTACCATAATTAACGAATTAGTGCCACCGTCAGCGGAAAATCGGCATGACGTGTAACATGTGACATCCGGTATGGACGTGAAAGTATAGTACGTTTGAACGAACAATGGAGGCTCAGGGACAGAAAGAGATAAAAGACAAACGACGATGGTTGTCGACCGGCTTCGTTCACGCGCACGCGATTGAGTCCGTCGTCACGTCGGCAGACGACGCGAACTCGCTTGCACATTTTGCTCGAGGGACCATCATCAGGCTCGACGCCTGACAACAATTCGCGACAAGCTCCGCTTCAACCAAAAACATACCAAAACACTTTCTATCTCTGAGGAGTCTGAACCACTCTCACCATCGCACCACCCGGTACAATATAGACCAGTAATATGTCTGGTATTCAAGGTGGCCGATTCCCGCCCATCCGCATTGACAAAAGTGTACACCAGCGCTCGCTCTCTCGCTCCAGTGCTGGCACAGGAAGCGTGCCAAACAGTCCCAAGCTGCACGAGATCTTCCACTACGACCAAATACCCCCAAGCCCGACGCGCAGACATGCCTCTGGCAGCCATCCAGCGACCCCCGTGCTCTCGGCCAGCCAGGAACTCCCGCGGGAGAATGGAGCGCACGTCGAGAGCGCTGGCAAGCCTGTGAACGGAGTAACTGTGCGTCTATGCACACTCTTTGCTGGCAATGTCGCTCATCTCTCACCAGGAATCGATTGAAACCCAGCACACCGCCGCGGAGGCGACCAACCATATCGCTGACGCCTCTGATGCACCTGTCGCTACCAAAGATATCGCTCAAGAGCAGCCAGTGAAGGAAGACGCTCCTGTACTAGAGGCCGACGCGGCCAAAGAGTCGCCCGAAGCGAGACAGGAGGAGGAAGCTTATGGTGGCGTTGAGAAAGTTGTGCGTCACACGACTTGCAGCCTATTTCTTATCTGACTTTTGATTAGGACGTCGCCACTCTAAGCTCTGATACTACCGAGATGCACGACATTATCCCTGCGGAGGATACTCCGGTACACCAGCCTCCCGACGAGGTGACGGAGGAAACCAGTGCTGCGGTTGGTGAGATTGCCGCTGCGGTCCCCGATACTCCCGCTGAGGATTCCAAAGAAGGCGCAACAGAGACGCCAGTCGCTGAGGAAGCAAAGGAGGCTGAAGCTCCTGTCGAACAGCCCACAGTCGAGCTGGCTGCCGAGGATGAGGCAGCTGAAGATCACACAACGGAGGAGCCTGTAGCCGAGGAGGTCGAGGGGACGAACGAGGCGGAGAACGTGCCTGTTCCCGTTGAAATCGCAGAGGTGGATGTTCCTGTCGAAGCTGAGGCTGTTGTCGATGAGACGAGCAAGGAGGTGCTTGTTGTCGAGGAGACGAGTAAGGAGGAGCCTGCTGTCGAGGAGAAGAATGCTATGGCTGAGTCCACGGCCGAGGAAGAGCTTCAGGTGCGACTTCAGGCTCCTCTACTGCGACTGCTACGACTTCAGGTTCCTCCGCTGAGACTTCAGATTCCTCCGGTACGACTTCAGGCTCCTCCGCTGCGACTTCAGGTGCGACTTCAGGCTCCTCTACAGCGACTGCTACGACTTCAGATTCCTCCGCTGAGACTTCAGGTTCCTCCGTTGAGAATTCAGGTTCCTCCGCTACGACTCCTACGACTTCAGGTCCCTCCGCTGCGACTGCTGTGATTTCAAGCTCCTCCGCTGCAACTTCAGGTTCCACCGCTGCAACTTCAGGCTCCTCAGCCTTGGCCTCTGTCTCCGCATCCTCGACAGGAACTTCAGCCGCGGCTTCGGTAGAGCTAATGACAGCCTCAGGCTCAGTTGTGGGCGCCTCCTCAGCCTTCACGTCCACCGGGGCAACTTCGATAGGAACTTCCCCAGCAGCCTCTGGCTCGGCGACGGGCTCTTCGACGGGCGCGGGCTGCTCTTCGACTGGCGCGGGCTTCTCCCCGACAGTATCCTGAACCTCGATAATCGCCTCTTGAGTCTGGATAGCATGACCCTCTTCGACCTTCTCAGTAACGGCCTCGGGCTCCTCTGCGCGCTCTCCGGTGGCTGAGACGACGGTTTCCTCTGTAGCGGCCTCTTCGGTGACCTCTTCCGTAGCCTGCTCAGCTATAGGTACTTCCTCGACGGTAGCATGAGCCTCAGTGGAGGCGACGCCCTCGACAGTCTGTTCCTCAGGCTCCGGAGCAGTCTCGAGGGACTGCTCCGGCTCCGCTGGCTCCTCGGCCTTCTCGATCTTCTCTTCGGCCACAGCGAGCTCCTCCATAGCTGGCTCTTCGACAGCCTCCGCTGCCTCTGCAACAGGGGTCTCTCCGTGAGCGACTTGCTCCTCAACGGATTCCTCAACAGCAGCAGTTGCAGGCTCGATCGGCGCGGTTTCGATGAACGCCTCGGCGGAAGCAGGTTCCTCGAGTCGCAACGGAGGAGCCTGAAGTCGTACCGGAGGAATCTGAAGTCGTAGCAGTCGTTGCGAAGGAGTCTGAAGTCGCACCTGAAGAAGTCGCAGCGGAGGAATCTGAAATCACGGCGGTCGCAGCGGAGGAGCCTGAAGCTGCACCTGAAGCCGTAGCGGAGGAACCTGAAATCACAGCGGTCGCACCGGAAGAAACTGAAGTAGTGGCAGTCGTAGCGCAAGAGCCTGAAGTCGCACCTGAAGTCGCAGTGGAGGAGCTTGAAGTCTCAGTGGAGGAGCCTGAAGCTGCAGCGAAGGAATCGGTCGTCAAGGAGGAGGCTATGGTCGAGGAATCTGCTGCTCCTGAAGCTGCCTTTGAGATTGCCGAGTCGCAGAAGGCCGAAGAAGGTGCCACAACCGAGGAGTCTCCTGCAAAGACCGAAGCATGTCCACACAGTCTTAACAACTTGATCATGCTATCGTCTACCTCTGAGACTTGCATTGCGGACGTCGCTGAGGCCCAGGATGTTGCTGAGCGCGCTGAACTTGTTGAAAAGGCTGTCGATGAGCCTGTCAACGCTGAGGAAGTCGCTGAAGTCGCTCCCGAGCCTACTATGTTCGCCGCTGAGGAGGTCGCTGAGGGAGCAGTTGTCGAAGAGAGCAAGGTCGAGGCGGAAGCGGTATGTGTACATGTACCTCATGTTTTCCACGTGCATTTAATTAAACCAACTTTCTTACAGATCCCCGTTGTCCGCGAGGAACCGTCCGAGCCAGCCGTTCAAGCAGAGGAACCTGTCCCTGACGAGGTAACCGAATCCACCGCACCTGTAGAAGCGATTATTCCAGGCGCTGCCGCTGAGGAGCAAGAGACGCCCGCCGCGGCGATGGGAGATATGTCTGCTCCCCCGGTAATTGCTGTCACGATTTCAGACGAGACTGCCGAGGCTTCTGCCACGGAGGGTGAGAAAGAGCTCGAGCGTCCGAAATCTCCTTGGACCCCCTCGTACAGCGTCACAACTCAGGGCCCTGGTATACCTTCCGTTGAGCCCACCGCACTCGATAAGTCTGCTATGGTAGCCCAGGGGGAGGTTGCTTCACTTGCTGAAGCTCCCATTCCCGAGGTCTGTTCACTCTGTCTTGTATATGAACCATCATGCTGAGTTTTGTATACAGGTCTCTGTCGAGGAAGTGCACGCTGCGCCTAAGGATGCCGTTGAACCTGCTACTGAGCGCACGTGGGTTCCATCTTATTCTATCAGCTCTCAGGGCACGAGCCCTATGCACAAGCCCGTCGAGCTTGCCGAAGAGGTCGAGCCCATCGAGGATCTGTCTGTCAAGGAGACTCCTGCGGAGAATGCTGTCGTACCTCCTGTTGAGGAGTTCGTTCCCGCGGAGAAAGAAGCTGCATCAAACGCCGCTGCTGAGCCTGAGATGTCCGTTCAAACTACTGAGGCTGCTCCTGAGGAGACTGTCGAGCCACCCAAGATTGTCACTCCTGATGAGGAGCCTGAGACTGAGCCACAGGTGGTCGAGGAGGTGAGTGCAAGATGTGCTCTACTTGATCCGTCTTTTCTCATTATCCTGCAATAGAAGGTAGTGCCTGAAGAGAGACCACCATCACGGCCCTGGACCCCTTCTTACTCAGTTTCCCGCCAAGGCACGGCGCCAAGCCCTGTGCAGGCCCCCACAGAGCTGGAATCATTTCCCACTGAACAGCCTGCGGAGCCTGTTATCATTACTGAAGAGCCTGAGGCGGCGCCTGCCGATGCCGATGCTACAGAACTTCCTGCTGAGCGCACTTGGGTTCGTTCTTACTCTGTCTCTCGTCAGGGCTCTCGCAGCTCTCTGGTTCCGGAGAAGGAATCTCAGACTACTGCAGAGGTCGCCGAGCCGCCGGCTGCTGTAGCTGTAGCGCCAGAGGAACCCCAGCAGCCATCGGAGGCTGAAGAGGGGCTAGTGAAGGCTGGGGAGGATCCCGAGCGGCCCTGGACCCCATCGTACTCTGTCATTCGCCAGGGGACCAGTCCACACGTGGAATCGAAGGAGCTTGTGGCCTCCGAAAATGATATTGCGACTCCCGCGGCGCAGTCGCCAGAGACAGCGGAGACTGCAGCAGCCCCGGTCATCGCAATCGAGGAAGCCAAGGCAGCCGAACAGACTCCTGCTTCCGCTGCCGCGATAGAGGTGTGGACTGTCTCGACCTGTGTACGAATGTTACTCACGCGCACTTCTAGACCGAGGTACCTAAGGCAAGTCCAGTTGCAGAGCGTCCCCCCTCTCCCTGGACGCCTTCCTACTCTTTCAACCACCAAGGTTCGAGCCCGCTTAACTCGCCTGCTGTTCAGCCAAAGGACCTAGAGGCCGACGTCCCAGCACCCTCAACACCGGAAACCTCTGTCGAGCCGGAAGCCGTTCAACAGCCCGAACTTGCCGCTGAGGTATGTAATTGACTCCATTCTTTGGCGTCCATCCAGTGCTTACCCTCTCCCCAGAACCTGGAGGCTAAGCCAGAGCAGCCAGAGCGTCCGTGGACTCCTTCTTATTCTGTCACTACACAAGGCCCTGCCTCCCCTCTGAAGGAGGAACCCAAGGCCACGACAGATGAGACGAAGTCTGAGGCGTTCCCGACAGTCGAGACTGCTGAGCATGGACCCAAGTTGACCACAAAGTGGGTTTCATATCAGAATTTCATCGAGAAAATCGACCGAAATGGATTGCATAGCCTCGCGCGCCTTGCTCCCTCGGACGAGCATCAGAGGGATGACTCCACCGCTGACATCGACTCTCCGACTACGCGACCCCGTCACGAGTCAGTCACCTCTATCTCCTCCCGGGCGATTCCTGGCGGCTGGGTCTCAGGAGAGACTAAGTCACCAGGCGAGAACCAGGCGTCACTGGAGACCGCGGCCGGTGAGTTCTCGAATAACAAGAACGCTGCTCCTGCGCCTACGACCAAGGGCAAGCACCAGAAGAAAAAGTCCGGGAAGTGTGTCATCATGTGATGGGTCGTTTCTGGAGTCCTCTCGCGGGTTGCACGTCTCGGAAATTCCTCTAGGATCTGGCCCACCTATCGCATGCCGTGTGTCTTCTAAACAATTCCATCCCTCGCCTGTTCCTTCATAATAGATCTACGCATAAGGTCTTGTCAATCTCTTCACCTCATCTTCACTGCCATCTACACACTCTTTCGCACTTATCTCTTCTCTTATTTCCATTGTAGCATGGGCATACATACAAGAATCGCGAGCCATTCAGACCAAGGCTCATAGCATTCATATGCAATGTAAATTTCAACTCTCTTCGCTTTCATCACGGCGTATTTTGCCCTGCATCCGCTTTGCTTGCGCCTCGCCGAGCCTATTCTTGCCTAACCGCTCATTATTTGCTCTCTGCACATGCAGTATACCTCATTCGTAGCGTTAACGAATATACGTCCGATTTTTCTCGGCGGCGCCTTCGAACTAGGATGCTACGCCCTCCAATGCTACCCGCTATCCGCGGGTCGAAGCTCCGATACACAATGGCGCGTACGCCGCTGAGCGTAAGCATGACATCGGAGCAGCCGCGACGAGGATTCAATATCCTCTATAGGCGATGTGCGCTGCGGCGAGCCCCAGCCGTATGAGATGGCCTTCACCCTTCCGGGGCCGAAGGCCAAGGCCTTAGACGCGCAGAGCTAGAGCGAGCAATGCTCTGGGTAACTTCTGGACATGCTCGGGCGGTGGCCCCAGCTCTCATGAATGCACGACGAGCTAAACTGAGATGGAATGTCAGTCATACAATGTAGAGGGTCAATGTGATCACTAAATTGATGCTGTATGATACGGACACCGTGACGCTCCTCTGGGCTCCTATGGCCGCTACTCGCTTGCCCCACTGGAGGCGGCTCACGCGGCACTCTGTGAGGGCATCGCTACCCGTGCTCAGACTACGGCTGACGAAGTAGCTCATGAAACTCCTTTGCCGCATCAGCTAGTATTGTGCGCATGGTCCAGCGCCACGGGCTCGTGATCCAGCGGATGTCTAACCCAAGTGTCCGCACTGACTTTCCGTATATAATACCTAGTTCGAGCGAGAGGGAATAGCATCCTCAGCATTCGCTCGAGGTCCCTCGTATCCTCTACTTCGTCCTCTACAGCCAACAGCCCTCATTCTGATATCACCACAATGAAGTTCTTTGCTGCTATCACCACCCTCGTCTTCGCCGCTTCTGCTGCCCTTGCGGCGCCCTCCACCACCACCACTGTCACTGTCTCCTACGACCAGACGTACGATAATCCCAGTGGCTCTGTGAACACCGTCTCGTGCTCCGGTGTGCTTGCGGGTCAGTGACTAGCACTCCGTCTCGCCCGCATGAGTTTTGACCTCCACCGCCCTTTCTCTAGGTTATGGCGACTTCGGTAACCTCCCGGGCTTCCCGAACATCGGTGGTGCGGCCGCCGTTGCGGGTTACGACGACCCCAACTGCGGCACCTGCTGGCAGCTCACCTACAACAACACGTCCGTCAACGTGCTCGCCATCGACCACGCCGGCGCGGGCTTCAACATCGCGCTCAGCGCGATGAACACTCTCACGAGCGGCGAGGCTGTCTCCGTGGGGCGTGTCAATGCCCAGGCCCAGCAGGTCGATGCCAGCCTGTGCGGCGTCAACTAAACGTCCAGAGTGAGTGCGCCAGGAATGGCTGTTCGAGGGCGACCCCACTTACAGCGCACTTTGCAGAGAGCACAAAGTGGCAGCTTTTGTATATTCACGAACCTAACGAGATGATGTGTTCAGACACATTTCACGGGCTTGATGGGCTGTACACCATTTGCGCACGGACTCTGCATGTTGTAACTAGGCACTGTTAACAGGAGTGAGAAGAATTGGAGAGTGATGTGTATATGTTATATTGAAGGCGTACGAAGAGTGCACAGTCAAGGGCGTCATACACCATGCAAAGCAGATAGCGCCAACTCCAAGCCACCTGACAATCCTAATCACGTCGACCACTGAGACAACGCGTACCCTCCGTGTCATCCTACTGGCGAGGCCGTACCTAAGCTGGTCTACCTCCCCGCTAGGTGGAACTAGACCTCCACTGCTATAAGCTGCAAAGGCGCTGCAAGAATATCAGAGTGAGAGGCCGCAGTCGCGCGATCGATGGACCGTTGTCGAAAAGGAGTACCAGAAGTCGCAGCGAGGACGGGAGCGCTTACATTCAGCATCATGCGACCTCTGACACTCCATTCGAAACGCCACTGAGGATGGCTAACAGCGGCTCTAGCCGGATAACGGCTGCATGCACGGTAGCTGGCCTCTAGCTTGTAACAGCACTGTGGAGTGAGCCGAATTACCCGCGACCAGGTGCGCGATGGTCAAGCTTGCGATAGCCATGTGGCCTTCATCTGGTAGACGTATGCCTTAACACCGATATTTCCATCCTCCACAACGAACGAAAAAGGCAAGGTAACCTTTGCCTTGCCCATAACATTTTCAATCGAGACGAGACCCTCCTAAGAAGTCGCAGTCGAAGGGCAAATCTAAGCCGGCAAAAGACTGACACCTCAACGAGAGACAGCAAAGCCGATAGAGTCAGGACGATGTAGTAGGTGTAAGAATTTTGTACCTGCCAGATCCAGCTGGCTCGGGGATATCATCGGATTCGATATCCTCCATAGGCGATGTGCTCTACGGCGAGTCCCAGCCGTATTTGAGATAGCTTTCACCTTTCCGAAGGCCAAGGCCTTAGACGCGCAGAGCTGCTAGAGCGGGCAATGCTCTGGGTAACTTCTGGACATGTTCGGACGGTGGCCCCAGCTGTCGTGAACACACGACGAGCCAAACTGAGGTGGAATTTCAGAGTTACACAATGTAGATGGTCAATGTGATCACTCAATTGATGCTGTATGATACAAACACGCTTCTCTGGGCTCTTATGGCCGCTAGTCGCTTACCCCACTGGAGGCGGTTCACGCGGTGCTTCGTCAGGACATCGCTGCCCGTGCTGAGACTACGGCTGACGAAGTAGCTCATGAAGCTTCTTTGCCGCATCAGCTAGGACTTTGCGCATGGTACAGCGCCACAGGCCCGTGATCCAGCGGATGTCTAGCCCAAGTACCCACACTGGCTCTCCGTATAAAATGCCTAGTTCGAACGAGAGGGAATAGCATCCTCAGCATTCGCTCGAGGTCCCTCGTATTCTCTACTTCATCCTCTACGACCATTAACACTCACTCTAATATCATCACAATGAAGTTCTTCGCCTCTGTCACCACCCTCGTCTTCGTTGCTTCTGCTGCCCTTGCGGCGCCCTCCACCACCACCACTGTCACCGTCTCCTACGACCAGACGTACGATAATCCCAGTGGCTCTCTGCTTACCGTCTCGTGCTCCGACGGCGCCAACGGGCTGCTCACCAAGGGTCAGTGCAGCACTCTGTCTTGCTCGGATGAGTTCTGATCTTTCTTCAGGTCTTGGACCCGATTTCGGCAACCTCACGAACTTCCCGAACATCGGTGGTGCGGCCGCCGTCGCGGGTTTCAACGACCCCAACTGCGGTACCTGTTGGCAGCTCACCTACAACAACACTTCCATCAATGTGCTCGCCATCGACCACGCCGCAGCAGGCTTCAACATCGCGCTCGCTGCGCTCAACACTCTCACGAACGGCAACGGTGTCTTCCTGGGACGCATTAACGCCCAAGCCCAGCAGCTCGATGCCAGCGCGTGCGGCCTCTAAATGTCAAGAGTAAGTGCGCCAGGAACGATTACGTTCGAGGGTGATCTCACTTACGGCGCACTTCGCAGAAGGTTCAAAGGTGGCAGCTTTTTGTATATTCATGAACATAACGAGATGATGTATTCGGACACTTCTGTTCACGGACTTGATGAGCTGTACACCATTCGCACACAGACACCATGTTGTAATTAGGTGTTGTTAACAGGAGTGAGGCAAATTGGAGAGTGATGTGCATATGCTGGGGACGTACGAAGAGTGCGCAGTCAAGCCATCTGACAATCCTAACCAAGTCAACCACTGAGACGAAGCGTACCCTACGTGTCATCCTACCAAGGCGACTGTATCCTACACTGGTCTGCCTATCCATGACTAAGTGGGGCTAGATCTCTGCTGCTATAAGCTGTCAAAAGTATCAGTGAAAGGCCGCAATCGCAATTGGCGACCAAGCGCACCGAACCAACCGATGGAACTGATCGAAAAGGAGCGCTCATATTCAGCGTCATGAGACCTCCGGCACTCCTTTCCGAACTTCCGCGTTGAACATTAAAACGTTTAATGTTGAGGCCTTGAGGCCTTAAGGCCTTAAGGCCCGAGGGCTCACTACACGCTCTATCATAATGCCATGGCTGACAGCAGCTCTAGTTGAATAACAGCTACATGCAAGGAGGCTAGCCTCTAGCTTGTATCGGCACTGTGGAGTGAGCCGAGGTACCCGCGAGGACCAGGTCCGTCATTTTTGCGACGGCTGTCTTAAGCCCTGTTCAGTATGTGACTTTCTTCTGGTAGCCACCTTAGCATTGGCATTTTTATCTTCTATGACGAAAGCGAAACAAAAGGTAACTTTTGCCTTGCCCGTACCGCCGACCAGACCCCCAACTTACCCAAGAAGTCGCGGTTGAAGGGCAAATCCGAGCCTGGCAAAAGACTAGCATCCAAACGAGAGATAGCGAGCATATCTCAAATCTCATGGCATCAGAACAATACGGTAGGGGCAAGAATCTCGCATCTGCCAGATCCAGCCTGGTTCGGGGATCGGAGAGGAGTGAACCGTGGATGTCAATGGCCTCGGGCAGGAAGCATCGGTGTACTCGTTAGCGAGCTATAAATTCGCGCCCACTGCAGACGATATGACTCTACCTGACTCCATCATTCAGAGGTACGTCGTGCTCATTGTGCTCACCGTTGAGTTCCGCTGATCAGAACATCAAGCCTCATAGTCATAATATGTGCGGGGTTTTTGCCTACTGTAGTTATCTCCAAGAGAAGTTAAAGCCTTATAGCTTCACCTCCTACACTCTGGACCTTGTATCTGATCATGCTTCGTGTTATTACGATAGGACCGCAAGGCTGTTTGCGACATTCTCGTCAATGGCCTCGCACGACAAGAATACCGAGGATACGATTCTGCTGGTATCGGTATCGACGGGGATAGGTAGCGCGAGATGATATTCTTCACGGAGGTCGGAAAGGTCACTGGTCTCCGCGAAAAGATTGCAGTGTCGAATATTGACATGGACAAGGCTTTTCTATCACAAGTGTCCATTGGCCATACCCGGTGGGCGACGCACGGCCCACCATCCACAGCTAACTGCCACCCTGTCAAGTCCGACCCAACCGCAGAGTTTACTGTTGTTCACAACGGCATTGTCACGAACACCGTTGCCCTCCGCCTCCTCCTCCAGAAGCGCGGCTACCACTTCGAGACGGATACCGACACTGAGGCTGTCGCAATCCTTTGCAAGTACATCTATGACTCGCAACCAGACGAACGACTGGGCTTCACCGAGCTGGTCAAGACCGTATTGAAGGAGCTCGAAGGTTCGTTCGGGTTCGTCTTCAAGTCAGCGCACCACCCCAACGAGGTTGTCGCTGCTCGCCGCGGTTCACCTCTCCTCATCGGTGTCAAAACTGAAAGGAAGCTTAAGGTTGATTTCGTCGATATCGAGTTCCCGGATCTGGAGGCCGAGAAGAGCATTGATGCGTGTAAGCTCCTGATTCGCGAAAAGCCTAGCACGCCATAACTCATTACACACACCAGTCGCCGCTGCCACCTCTCCCAGTGGTCTCCTTGTGCCGCCCTCGCAGAACAATCTCATGCGTACACAATCTCGCGCGTTTATGTCAGAAGATGGTATGCCGCAGCCCATTGAGTTCTTCGTCGCATCCGATGCCGCTGCTATTATTGAGCATACGAAACGTGTAATCTACCTCGAGGACGACGATATTGCGCACATTGCTGAAGGCGAGCTGCATATCCATCGCCTCCGCCGCACCGATGATCCCCCGGTCTCCTCGATCCGCGCGATCGAGACTCTCGAACTCGAGCTCGCCCAAACCATGAAGGGAAAGTTCGACCACTTTATGCAGAAAGAGATTTATGAACAGCCTGAATCCGTTGTGAATACCATGCGCGGACGTATCAACTTCGACCAGCACGTCATCACGCTTGGCGGTCTCCGTCAGTACCTCAGCATCATCCGTCGCGGTCGCCGCATTATCTTCTGCGCATGTGACACCTCAAACCACTCCGCCCTTGCCACCCGCTCCATCTTCGAGGAGCTTACGGACATTCCTGTCACCATCGAGCTCGCGTCCAACTTCCTGGACCGCAAGACCCCCATTTTTCGTGACGACGTTTGCGTGTTTGTATCGCAGAGTGGTGAGACTCTCGACACCATCTGTGCAATGCGCTACTACCTAGAGAGAGGTGCGCTTTGTGTTGGTGTCGTCAACACTGTCGGTTCGACAATTTCGCGTGAGACCCACTGTGGCGTCCATATCAACGCCGGTCCCGAAATCGGTGTCGCGTCAACCAAGGTGCGTCCTGCTGTGCCTAACCACACATCTCCTGCCTGATCACGGTGTATTTATGTGTACACCTCCCAATACATTGCCCTCATCATCTTGGCCCTTCAGCTTTCGGAGGACCGCGCCTCTATGGCGGAGCGCCGCAAGCAGATCATCGACGGCCTTCACGCGCTGCACTCGCTGATCAAGCGTGTTCTCGAGGGCGACCGTAGCTTACAGGAGCTTGCATCCGGCGCGCTCGCAAACCAGCGGAGTCTGCTCATCATGGGCCGTGGCTACCAGTACGCAACCTGCCTTGAGGGAGCGCTCAAGATCAAGGAGATCTCGTACATGCACTCGGAGGGCATCCTCGCCGGCGAGCTCAAGCATGGCCCGCTCGCGCTCATCGACGAGAACATGCCGGTGATTATTATTATGACCCAGGACTCGCTCTACCCCAAAGTGCAGTCCAGCTGCCAGTTATCGTTCTCTCTGACATTTATACCTTCTCATTCAGACCTGTCGTCGCACTTTTCCTTCCTCTCTGTGTCGGGCGCTGTGGAATTCAGATGTGGCAAATCTCCTAGAAAGACGAAACGAGACGTTTGTTGTTAAACGGGTGTCTGCAATGGTGTGAAGGCTTCCGCCTTGGAGAAATGAGCTTATCAATAACATATTTGCTGAGGACGCTATTGTAGAGATTGTTGTCGTATAACCTGTGAAAAACGAGGCCGCACGGAATTCACTGCTGAGGCAGCCTGCGTGAAGTGGCCCGTTCGGAGAAGTTTGCTATTCGGAGTCAGAGAGTAACGACCTGTTCAAAACTGCCGCCCCTGATGGGGGGCCTGAAGCTGCAACTCAGAAACGCGAGGAGCTGAGTAAATAGCAGGCTACATTCGATTCATCAATTCTCATTATCCTCCAGCAGAAGGCAGAGCCATACTGCCACGCTGGCGGTGAGATCGAAAAGGAGTGTCAGAAGTCCCAACCCAATCAGGACTTCTGGCACTCCTTTCCGGCGAGCTGTCCAGACCTTGCGAGGAGCAAACTCTGAGTCGTCTAAATTTTCCATGTGCACCTATAGCCCGAAGCATCCCGGAGTACTCGGCCGAGCTTGGCACGCTCGACGACCGCTACGAGCTAGCGCTTGGATGTCGCCTCATCGTCCTCCGGAGGTTTCACAAGTTTATTGATCTCAAAAACGGTGCCGTCGTTCATATTTTCGTTATAGCCGGATATACGGCATATTCTCGCTCTAAGTTTTCAGTGGCGATGTCAAGGAGTACATGACGGCCCCCAGAAGGCTCGTTCTGCGGGTAAAGTATACCAGGATGGCCTCGTGCCAAACTTCCCAGCAACAGTCAGGCCACATAAGAGGCGCATCGTTTCAACCAGAAGAACTCGATGACACACCAAGAATGCAAATAACTAGAAATTTGTCAGTTGTTTTTTCATAGACACATTCCAGAGCACCTATGTGGTCCATCTGGTGAATCCAGAAGATTCGTGAGCGCAACAGAAGGACCGGAGTTCATAGTGCTGCCGCTGGAACGCCCAGAGCTTGCAAAACTTGAGACGTTAGCAAAGCGCATAAGGCGCTGCAAGGCTCGATGCAGAAGGAACTCGCGACTGTTGTGTGGAGTAGAGGAGGGAATCCCGACGTCGAGATGGTTTCACGATGCAGATGTATAAACACCACTGCAGAAATCTTCGGGAGTAGCCCAGCCAGCGCTCCGACGTTCACGCTTAAGCTTTCCAGTTTGACAAGAGAGCTTAAAAGTGTGTAAACGCGCCTGTTGCGGTGTAAAGATGCCAAGTTCTGGCTTGTGCGCTGCTAGTCCACGTTGGCACGGCCGAGTCCGAGTCCGGGATGAGCCCGGCTCGCGGGCTGGAGTTCCAAGAGCGGATCTCATCGTTGAGGATTTTGAGAAGTTAAGGTAGCTCAGCCACGTCGATGTGCGACTGTATGACATATGCCGACCCAGTGCGGCGCATGAATACTCAGTAATGGCTGTAGAGCTTCATGACCCGGCGGGTCGCACCACGGAGGTTCTCTCGGAGGTTGTCGTAACGGTTTTAGCTGGACAAATGGTGAGATATCTCCATTTATTGTAGCGTGGGATCACACCATGGAGGGCGACGTGAGAGTGAGACCGCTTGGAGGCCGAGAGCGCAACCATCAATACTGCGCCTTCCGAAAAAGGTGATGTCCGCCGGCAAGTTCCAAACTGGGGCCAGTTCACATGACTGCTACATGGTATGTGCAACGTCAGAGGAGGATTGGCTGCGTTCTGCCAACGTTCTGCTTACCCTGGTGAGCTGGAGAAAGCGTGCAAGCACAACGAGGACGTATATAATCGACGGAGGTTCGGGCTGAAGAAATGTGCAAGAGGAGCACTCGCCAAAACCCGCGCCCATCGGTGACGTTAGAGTCGACCCCAACCCCAGGGAAATCGTCGGCTTGCCTAAATCGTACCAGAAAACAGGACTCGTGAACCCGCCCTTATAAACAGGGTCTCTCACGACTCCGAATCCTCCCACTACACTCATCAACCATGTCGTCTGCAGTCCGTGCCATCCCAAAACACTCCCGCTCGCTCTCTGGGTCGCTCGCCGCGATCGGCGGGAGGCGCGCGTTCCACTCGCCGTTTGCCGTGCTCTACACCGCACCACCCGTCGCGCACAATGCGCAGTCACCACCCATCGAGCAATCGCCTCTGTACGAGAAGCAGCTCGAGAGCACCGCCGCACCCACCCTATCGCCCGCGGGCCACCACACCTACGTCGTCTCGGAGCCAGACCCCCGCGCAACGCCATATGAGGTGCCCTACGGCGCGTACCCTACCTCTGCGCCCTACCAAAACTACCCCGCGACCGACGCGCCGCTCACGAGCCCGCGGTCGTCGACGAGTCCCGACCTCGCGCACCCGATGACGACCCGGGCCGCGCCACAGAACCCCACGGGGTCGAATGATGCTGCGGGCATCCAGGAGAGCGCCGCCGTCCGCTTCCGCGATGCGCCCGGTAAGCTCAGCAAGGGCAGCGAGGGCGGCCTCGACTTGATGGACGCCGCGTCGACCAAGCCCGGCGAGGGCGAGCTCGCCTCAAGAAACCCGCAACCCGACGATCCCAAAGTCGCCGAGAAATTCTCCGCGTTGGGCGTCGATAAAGCTTGGAAGGCTAGGAAGTAGATGGTTCGGATTCCGGTTGGTTGCGGTTATTTATTGCATTCTCTCATGACCCAGGTATAACGTCGCTCTACGAAAGTTAATAATCCCGGTGATGCCATTTCACTGTTCTTGTACCATACTTCTTGCTGTTCTCCCTTGTACCACCATCCCTTTCCTCATCTCCTTGGAGCTTGTACAACATCCGGCCTCACCCGCTTATGCCCGTAGACGATCTCCAATACTGGCAAAGCTCGTTCTGTTACCAGCAGATCTGTAGTGTTTTGCTTAATCAAAATGTGACCTGGTTACGTGCGCTTTACCACCGCTGAGTGAACGGTGTTGTACCGCTATATATATGCACCCTTCTCATGCATGTCATCGAACGGATCTAACCACTGCATTCAATCCAACTAAATAGCTAAGGCCATGTACGTGAATGTACCGAGACAGTACCGGGAACGGTACAGTAAGCGACAGTCCAGAGAACGAGAGCTCTTTCCTATCGTATGAGACTGCGAGTCATAAGAATAAGAGAACGCGGCGCTGAACATACGGTGCTAACTATATTGTGCATAAAACAAGAGAAAGAGCTGTAGAGGAGAGAAATGTAGAGGGAAAGGAGAAAACGTGTAACGGCATTATACAGAAAGGCGCAGGAAGATGAGACAGGCAGAAGAGAATGATGCGGGTGCGTTCCTTGCACTCAATCCAGAGCGTCCACAGGAGGATGAGATGGCGAGAGATGTGTGTAGGGCGAGGAATGCATTGCGTGCGAGCATGAAGATGCAGAAGGCGATGTGTGTGCGTCGTGACGGAAAAGGAGCGACGGTGCCTGACATCCGGGACGGACGAGGGTATCTAGGGATGCGTGGTGCGTTGCAGTCGTGTGCTGGACCGGAGCCGTGAGCGAGAGCAGATGGTCAAGGAGACGAGCGTCATGATTGAGGCGACATGGCCAAGGAGGTGTCCGCGGAAAAATATTAGAGGCATTGCGCCTTAGTAAAGATAAATATCTTGAGTTCATAGACGTCATGAAGTCGAGAGCAACAGCCTGTATCCGTATCGTCAGAATCAGTGTTGACGAGCATGAATGCAACGCACAATTAGTCAGATGTCATCACTGCCAACCGGCGGCAGACGTTTGTGTCCTTGTTGTTTATCCTCGACAGCAGAGCGCTGCCCAGAACGACCTCTTCCTCCCACCGTGCTCGTCCTGCTCTTGAATGATGGCGCTCTGCTCTCCGAACGCGGGGACAGCCTTGTTGGTGCCGTTCGTCCTCGGCGTCGCGGTGTTCATGTCAGCCGCACTTTGTCGCTGTGACTGATTACCGTACACGAAGTCGTTGGCCGCGGTAGGTAAGACAGGTGAGTTAGCGTGCCCGTTGCTCAGCTGGCCCATGCCATTATACTGCACCTGCGAGGTGTTGCCATATGCGGTGTTGCGGTACTGGTTCTGGCTTGACGCGTTTGCATACGGATGCTGCGCGACCAGTGTGCTATCGCGTTCGCGATCTCCACGGTGTTGGCTTGCCCGGCGGCTGGTGGGCGCAACCGGCTGCACGCTGATGTGCTCGCGCGAGGCCCCGCGAGATTCCAGCTGAGGTGTTCGTCTGCTCGTCTTGATAGCAGCAGGCGATGGCGCGAGTACCATGGGTGAACCTGGTTGTGACTGGTCGAGCGGCTGGCGCGAGCGGCGGTGAGCATGATCGCGATCGCGTGTCCGGTGCTCGCGTTGCGCAGTACGTGAGGACTCCTGGTGAAGCTATGCCGGCGTCATGTTGGGGCAACATCAAGCATTGCATATAAAAACTGACCTGCCCGGCCTCCAGTCCCTTGCCTCCGTTGAGGGCCATCCAATCAAACACCCCGTCCTCCACCTCGCCAAGGTTCTTGAGAACCTTGGTGAACAGCTCGCGCAGGAAGTCGTAATCCGGCTGCTCCTCGAATCCGAGCTTGCGTACGTAGTGCATGTAGATGCTGAACTCCTCTGCAGTGTCCAAACACTTAGAACGAACGCTTCAACTGATATTTCAATGAGGACGCACCAGGGAAGCCCTCGCAAAGTTCATCAATCGGCGTCGTCTGCTTCTTCTCGCCAATCTTCTCGTACTTCTGCTTGTTGGTAGCAGCCCGAAGACCTTGCCATGGTAGACCGCCACGGAGGAAGTACATGAAGACGTGACCAAGAGACTCTAGATCATCTCGCCGAGACTGCTCACGCCCCAAGTGGGTATTGATGGACATGTACCGTGCGGTACCAGACAACGATTTGCGTTCACGGTACGGAATGTGTTGTTTTGTTTTGGGGTCACGGTAGAGCTTGGCCATGCCAAAATCTAGTAGAACCAACGAAATCAGCAAGACTGTTCGAGTTTGACGTCTCATGACGTAAAAAATTGCCGAGAGCGGTTGGCCCTGTCAAAACCAAGTATAAAGGGCACCGCCTCGAGGAAAACGCACAGCCAGCGTGACCCAATGGAGCTAACAGCGGCCGACCGGACACGACCAGGAGGCGGTAGATAGACCGAGCTCCACTGGCGTAAACCATGTCCTATTCCCCTTCCAAGGATAGAGTAACCCGGGGTTGCGAAAGAAGGGAGCAAGAGTGAACATCTCGGGTAATACGAGACAACGACAAACTACACAGCTGGACAGAGTACATACCGATTATGTGAATAGTGTTGGCATTCTTCGTACCAGGGACTCCTATTAGGAAATTATCGGGTTTTATGTCTCGGTAAATGAGGGACTTGTCATGAATAGCTTGGACACGCGTAATCTGCGAGAAAAGTGTCAGTCGCTCGTACGCAATTAGAGCCCGGCGGGAGCGGGATGAAATCCTGCCAGGCGGAGCATGCCGCATACGACGGAAATCGCTTAAGTGCGGCAACAACGCCCGGAACTCAAGGAACGCCGCCCCATCACAGAGGCGAAGGGTTGTTGCAAAGCACATCCAGAGACGACTCACCATCTGTTTCGCGGCCATACAGACTGTCTTAATCGTGAATTTACGACTACACATGTCGAACAGGTCCTCGAGATTGGGCCCGAGGAGGTCGATGACGAGAACATTGTGGAGCCCTTCTTGTCCAAAGTGGTGCACTTGTGGGACGCCGGCTGTGGTAAAGCGTGGAAATGTGAGCGTCGCAGCCGCAGCAAAGCGCGAGAGGCAAAGCGGATGTGAGCAGCACAATGCCCACGGAAGAATAAACAAAAAGGAACTGGGACGTACGAGTTCCGTTCAACGTCCGGTACGACCTGAACTCGTCACGCAGCTGAGGAGCTTCAGATTTTCGGGGCTCCTGTACATGAAGTGAACAGTTTTAGTCGACTAGGACAACCCCCTGCGGACTGAAAGATACGTACAAATTTGATGGCGACGGGTTGGTTATTCAATAGGTTCAAGCCTACGGGTGGCATAGTTACAAATCTTGAGAGGTCTAGACTGGGCAGGAAGGCGCACCCTCGAATACGACACCGAAAGAGCCCTCGCCAATCTTCTTGCCAACGCGAAAATGAGTGCCGACGATGCTGTTAGTCGCACCAGATTGTGATGACGGGTGGGGGGATGAAGATGCTATTACATGTGGGGTCGTCATTGCTGAGGTGCAGAAGCCAGAGCGAAAGAAGGGGTAAGGTAGGGATGGAATATATGAGAGAGCGTAAGAGAGAAACCTCCACCGAAGCTCAAGTCGGGGGTCTGAACTGTTGGCGGAGGGAAAGAGCGGAATCCAATCGCCTCAATGTGGAGCTCTTATTCCCACGCCCAATACGCAGCCTTCTCGGGTTAGGGTTTCTCCGTGTCTGAAGGCTGGCCCCGCATTGACACGGTGCGTCCACCCCAAGCTGCTCCTCCTCAGGCACCAGGAGCAGGATCCAGACTAACCCGCACGTTGCAGGAAAAGCATGGAGGAATATACGCCCGAGTCCCGTTGCGAACCCTTTCGGTGGTGAGCCGGCGGCTTGACCAGGCTTCGAGACCTGCGTATGCTCCAGTCAGCTCATGAGTCGTAAACTTTCAGTTCGTCTGGGTTGACACAGCAATACATAATGTGCCTACAGAAGCACTGGCTCCACAGCCATTTGCTGCGACCGGCATGCAAATGTATCACGGTATGCATCCGTGAGTAGTCGATCATGATGCCAGCCGTCGAGGTTTACGCCCAATCGCAGACCGCCACAATGCTCAGCGCTCAGCGCTCATGAAGAATGAGCAGCGTGGATCTGGCTGCGGCTGAGGAATCGTGCATGATGCAGGACCCATCAACCGCTACCAGATCCATGATCCTCTATAGATGTGCGTCGTGCATTACTAGGTAAAGTCATTACATTAATGTTGTGGGTGAGCTGGACCGTATCAGCATGAAAAGCGGTCTTGCGACGGGCGAGCAACCGTGTGGGCGTGAGGCGTGGTTTCTGCGTGTCGGAGAGCATGCGGCTAGCATGGGATGACATGCCGTGCGCCGAGGGTTAATAAGGCCGTAAGAGAGAAGGTAGCTCACGCCAAACGTTATTCGCCTGTCGTATGTATATTCGCGAAGTAATGGATGTGGCCATTTTTGACAGAGACACACCAGCTAAGTTGTTCGATAGGATCCATCCAGGACATAGCCATCGCGGACAACCTTAGTCCAACGACTTCGCGTAGGTTCCGGGTTCGCCTTATGCACTATTATGTTGCCACTGGCAGGGCGTCTTTGTGGCGGGTCTCGAAGTCAGATCTTTGGAGGGCGTCCAAGCGTTTTTGTCGGTGAGTTGCACCCTCCAGTACTGGATTTTATAGCTGAACAGCCATAGCACTCCCAGCTCTCCTAACATTACAGACACTGCTACCGGTGTTAGGATAGGCGGTAGGCGCAATGTCGCGACCAAAGCACGTCGCTCTAGTCAATGCTCCTGCGGCCGAAGACTCTAGGCTGGTCTCCGAGGCTTCCGGCCCTACTCGACATCTCGAACCCCGAAGCTTTTTCCGGTCCGCACAACGGCGGTCCTGCAGGCTGTTAATAGCCCCTCGGGATGCGGTATGTCGGTGAGTAATCTGTTCGGTATTCAGATGTTCATAGCGGAATTGCCCGGCCGCAGATGAATAATCCCGTTCACCTAGTCGTTTCACCGTTATTTTCCTTCGGTGACGCAGTATGAATATATGACGGCCGGGTGTCGTATTCCGCTGTGGGGTAGAACGCCGATGCTTGATGCCCGAGGCCAGTGGTGCCCACAGTGCATTACTCTCCGATCCCCGAGTCAATTAGATATGGCAGGTACGGAGTCGAGACTACTTTCATCCCTACTGCTTTTTTCTGGTAGGTCCTAACGCCGCGGAGATTGCGGCATATTTGCCATCCTGCACTCCGACGTCACAGTGGCCCACGCAACAATTCTTCAGCTAGGCCCAGTAATGGCTCAAGTATTTTCTCTTCGATTATTGCTATGTCACATAATTCTTCCAGCTAAACTCTGCTACCTTGCATCCACCGGACCTGTAAAATCGCTCATATACGATCTGAGGTATTTATTGCCATGCCTATATGCTCTTGAGCGCAATGGACAGTCGGATTAACTAGGAAAAATTCTAGCTCAGCTACCAAGGCTCCCTATCCGCCACTTCCGAACCCGACGGGATATTACTGTTTTAAGCTTTGGGAGTGACTTCCGCGCCGGCATCCGCGGACTGGTTCGTCCCTTTTCCTGGTTCTGGTCGATAGGTACCGCCTTCCAGCGAGCCAAGCTATCATCTTTCGCATGACTCGACCGTTACTTTCACACCACTTGCCATCCCTCACAAATCTCGCATGCGCATGACTGTATCTTGGGACCAGGGTAGATGGCAATCAAAACTGAATGACGTGCATGAGACTATCTCTGTCACTCAGCTCATGGCGGTGCATGCATTGTATGCAGGCCGTCAGCATATGGCGCACGACATTGGACATCTGAGAAAGCATGAGCTTGATGTCAGGAGACATGAATAACAAAGCGAAAATAATATTTGCGAAGCTTACCAGATTGCGCCGCTGAAATCCGCTGCCTAACCCATGACACACCCAGAGTCGATGCATTGATGGAGGACTGGGACAGAGCTGCACAGCTTGTCAGCTGTTCTAAGTCTGCCGCCGGCCGCCGCTGCCAGCGAGCCATGACGATCGACGCGTTGCAAGCATAGTAGGCTGCGAGGATGCCCGGGTTCCGGCGCTTCGCCTGCGACAGTACCGCACCGTTGAAACCGTACCTAGTCTCCAGACAATTCGGCCGCCGTTGCGGCCTAGATCGCGTAATAGTCGAGCAGGAGTCGACAGCGCCGTAGCAGGGGTTATGATAAGCGAGACGACCGCACGAGCCCGAAAAATGGTATGGTTCGGGCATACGGGAACGTGACTATGACCGCAGCCGATCGGCGAGGCGCACATTCACCCGAGCGACCTCGCATCCCCGGAAGTCGTCCGCAGCAAGTCAGTCGCAGACCGTCGAAGAGCTCTGTGCCACCAAGTACAATCCCGGAGCGGTGCGCACAGAAGTAGTCGTCTTCGATCAATAATGCCAGCAAGCCACTGCAAGGCTCGAGACAGTGATTCAGCGCGCCAAAGACTAACCCACGACATGGATCGGAAACACGTTCGCGGGTGGATTGCGGGCTTTGCGAGGCCTAGGGGTGACGTGACAGGTGGTCCATTGCGGGCTCGAGAAGCGCTGCAGGGTTGGTCAGGAGGGCGTTGGCGCGGCGCTGTCTGGAGGGAGCCTCATCCGTAGTCCCTTGTGCCTGTGCGAATGCGAAGATCAAAGCTTGTCGCGAAGAGCTGCGGCTGAGGCGGTAGTGCAAAAGATGATGTGGCGCAAGAGAAGGCCTGATCGAGGGCAAGGACTGCTTATACCCTTGTACATAGCGATGATGTTCCGTTGTATTCCAGCCAGTAGGCTGTGTTAAGGCCTTAGGGCGGGTGTGGGTCCAGGACAATGTTCCGACAGGATACGCGTACAAAAGACCGAGCGGAGACATGTGCTTCTTGATCAAGGGGCAACAAGAAGCTCGGAGGTAGAAGCCGGAGTCTCTTATAATTACCCATGCTGAGCATAGATTCTGGGCGTCGATAGAGAGTAAAAAACTCATCCTCATGCGTGAGAAGGCCACGTAAGAGCATAGCGCTGGTTGTGTATCACAACCACTCTTCTCTTGAGCAAGGACGTGAGACTATCGTGACCGGTACGCTGGGAAATTCAACTATGCCGCTGACAGGATTTGAGTTTAATTCGTCAGCCTCCGTATCTCTCCAAGAGAAGAAGAACTCGCAAAATTGCTGCAGCAATATGTCACTTACACACTCCTTCGTGAGAAGCACATGCAGTGGAGTGATTGCACGTCATCTCCGAGGTGAACAAAACACGATCACGAGACGCACATGCTAGGAACGTCCACCATGCCAAAGCGAAGGTAATGCGGCGAAGAATTGCACAGCAAGGAGCCACCACGCAACAAAAAACCCCGAACTTAAGATTCCCCACGTTCATCTGACACGATCGCTCCTTCATATCAAGAGCATCAGCCGTCTAAATCCATGGCAGTTTACCTACCTCTCCCTCACTGATGTGTGGGCAGTGTCCGTCGGTGATTGGGACTATGGACCGAAGAGTCTACAAGAGCGTATTCTTGCGAGCTAGTCAGTAGGATGCGTTATTACCTCGGGCCTTACAAACCCTCTGCAAAATAAGTCGTCAACTTTTTCAATGCAACGCGAGCAGCTGTGCCCAATTTTTGTACCTCTAAAAGTAACACGCTCTCTACGGCCGGGAAAGCCGTCGTCTGCGGAGTTGCGAGCTAGCCAGCCTGGTGCGCGGGCCGGCTTGTCTGAAGACCGGCAGTGCGTATGTCCGAAGCCAGAATAGCGTCGGGAGCTGCGCGGCAGAGGGGCCCAATGGGAGAGGCTGTATATGACATGCATCCCCTTAGGGGATATTGCGTTATGACCCCGAATCAATCGTAAGTCAGGGAAAAACATGAGGATTGTGGCGCTCGGCGGGATGCTCGAGGCGTCGCCGGTTCGAATGCCGGCACAAGGGGCACAGTTGCATTTGAATCATATGTGGTTTTGCAGAGGGGCTCCTAACAAGGTTTCAGAACACGCACTCACCATCCGGAGATGCATGGTGCCGCTATGTTGGGTGCGTGATCTTCTGTCCGTTGCGATGCAGAGTGAATAATGGTGGCTGCGAGAGAAGGCTGTCACGGAGAGCGTGCAATCCCTGACTGTGAGTCCGTGCTTATGTGCGCGGAGGACGAATGCCAACGGTCTCGGCGGAGGCGCCATCACAAGAGACTTCGCAAAGCAGGGCAAGGTGGCCTTTTGAGGAAATAGCTCCTGCCATACATGGTGCTGGTGATCTTGGCTGAGAAAGCAAAAGGGCTTGTGACCGTGACAGTGACCGGCACGCTCCGCTCCCGTTCCGGCAGAAAAGGCGTGCTTGGTGAGCGATTTGTCAAGAGGCCAAGTATATACCCCGACCGCTAGCCGCCCGTCCTGCTCACTCTTCCTAAGCTTCGTCTAAGCTGCCGCACTCTCGCTTGCCCGACGCTGTCCTTTATAACTCTTGTACTCCGTCCAGCACCGATTTGCTCCATTTCCCCTCCGTGCCCATCTCTTGCAGCGACCAAGACACTCCAGCCATCAAAGCGCTGACTACTAGCGCACGCGAGTAACACAATCGAAGCTTCCCGCCACAGCCCACCTCAGCACTTCACCGCGTCATGCCAGTACCAAGAGTCATAAAGCTTCTCGTTATTTCTGACATTGTACGTCTCTGGACCTTCCTCCAAGGATGGCTTACTCAAGCACGCCTATTCCATTTAGATCTGCCCATGGTGCTACATCGGCCAGCGCGAGATGGAGCGGGCCATCGAGATGTGCAGTGACCTGCCCATCCAGGTCGAGGTCGAGTACCGCCCTTACCGCATCTACCCCTCCCTCAAGGACGGCCAGTTCCTCGACAGGTGCGAGTGGTTCGAGTCGAGGTTTGGAAAGGACAAGAAGGAGCAAATGGAGCGGATGATCATGCAACGTGCCCACGAGCTGGGTATGAATATGTGAGTCTTAGGATTTACCTTGCACAGCTGTCCCCCTTTGTCCTCGACGATCACCTGTCTTCCTCCGATTCGAGCGAGAATTAAGCGCTGACGGGCTCGCTGCTGGACAGAAAATGCATGGACGGCATCATCACCCAGACCACTCTCGCCCACAGGCTGTTGCTCAAGGCCTGGAAGATCGGCGGCCAAACAACCCAACAGGCTGTCCTAACAGCCATATTCAGGGGCTACTTTGAAGACCAAGCCAACATCGGCGACACAAACGTCCTTGCTGATATGGCTGTTGCGACAAATCTCATGACGAAAGAGGAGGTACGTGTTGTTCGATTGACTCTGAAATGTTTTGAACTCTGACCCATCTTCCTCAGGCAGTCGAGTTTTTGGAATCCGCCGAGTGCTTGGATGAGGTCGAGCGAATGATGAACGAGGCCCGGAAGAAGGGTGTGAACGGCGTGCCCTTCGTCGTGATTGACGGCAAGTGGGCGGTGAGCGGCGGACAGACCTCAGAAGTGTATTCGCAGGTGCGTCATCCCGATGACAAATCATTTAATTCCGTCGGGCTAACCCACCGAGTAGATCTTCAAAAAGCTTGCCAACTGCGAGCCGACGACGCCACGACCTACACACGCTGCACCCGCGGCTGCGAGCGTTTCTCTCAAGGCATGAGTCTTTCACTATCGGGACTTGTCCGGTTTCTTTGTGTCCCAACGATATCCACTTCGACATTATTCGTTGCAAGCCGTTTTATCATTATTCTGGGGCGGAGCGGACAGCCACTTTCCTCCTATCTCCTTGCATGGCTCTCCTCATCTTGGCCTTTAGCTTGTGTTGTATATTATGCGCCTTGTTTTCCTCTCTCACTCTCCGTTGTTTCTCTCACTCCGTCTGCACACACACAGAGACCATCCGTACACATTCATGACGCAGCGCGCAGATCATGGCTTTCCATTGCTCTCCCTAGCATACTATCCAATCTAACTTTAGCGATAGCTATACACGGCATGCCGATGTGCTGGTGGAAGCTACAGTGTCTGCGAACATAGCATGCAAAAGTGCGAAACGGCTTGTTATTCGCGCCGTTGGAATGCCTTCAGCTTTCCGACATTGATGTTAATTCTGTGTCTGCCACTTGGAAGCAAGGCTTAAATATTAAATGGCGGATGTTGTCTGTTGCGTGTGCCCTGGTGGTGGGGCGAAGCGGCGGCACTTCGGGATCTTGCAGCGCACGTCGGCCCGACCGCATGTGACGTCACACAGCCTCTACGACCTGGTTCTTCGCTCGATCCACCCAGAGCTCCAATGTCACGCGATGGACTGCGAACGATTTGCCCAGGTAAGGGCATCTTGTTATGACCGCTGCGCTGACATCCTCAATCCACAGAGTGGATCCCCCATGACCCGATCGTCATTCAAAACCAGGCTGGGCGTCGATTTTCATTCCCTCATCCTGCCCTTCCGCTTCCCGCCCCCTGATCCCAGCCGCACACAACCTAGCCTCAAGTGCACTAGTGTTGTCCTCGCGGAAGATCGATACACTTGGACCTGAACCTTCACGACATTTGACGACATTTTTTTACGGAGCAAATGCCTACGGCACACCAGCACTGGGTTTATGTCTGGATACCACTTTTCACCGCGATAATATGGTTTGGTAAGCACCTTCTCATTCAATCCCGCTTCTAACAAGACTGACGGCGCGGGGTAGGAACTCTTCTGGCGATGCTCATCACCTATCTCGCCGAGGGGCGTCCGCATTACGTCTCGGAAGACGGTAGTATAGCCTACATTTCCGACGTAGGCGCAGATATCCTTAAGCCGTTGTTTGTTACCGGATGCGCAATAACGGCCGTTGGATTCGTCCTCTCACTCGTGATAGAGCGATGGCTCAGGCACTCTGGCCGGTGTGTCTTCTTTGCTTATTACTACCTCCCAGACTTTACTAATCAGACATGTAGTCTTATCGCAGAAATGCGGCGCAGAGAGCGAGTGTTGTCCATTCTCGCGATCATAGCATCATTCATCGGAGGCATGGGCCTCCTTCTTCTGTCGATATTCGACACGAAGCGTCACCCGAGCTTGCACCGGGTCTTTCTACTCGTCTTCATCGTTGGCGTGGGCCTTAGCGCTCTTTTTACGATCGCCGAGGTGAGTTCTTCTCTTTGCGGTACGTGAGGATGCGGCTGATCATGCGCCACAGTACCGTTGGCTGAGCAAAGACTTCGTCGAGCTGCGCAAACTGAGAAATGCCTACATCGTGAAGGGCATCATTGCCGGAATTCTCATCGTCCTCGCTGTTGTCTTCGCCATCACCTTATACACAGCAGTAAACGTTGGAGGTACGAATGCACCTCATATGAACTTCCTTATGCTACTAAGCTGACCTTTCTTCCCAGCCGTCGTTGAATGGGTTATCGCCTTTGGTTACACATTCTATTTGCTCACGTTCTGGTACGACCTGCGCATGGCGAAAGGCGTCCACCGCGGCGAGTTCTCACGCAAGCGTCTCATCGACATGGAGAAGCAGGGCATCCCGATTTCCGCAGCGACGGCAGGTCATGAGGGAAACCCCCGTAGAAGCGATGCGCACAGCACGACCACCAGTGGTACCATGGGTACCGTTAACGGTTACCCTGTGTCGCACGCGGGTAATGACCGTGGTGCTAATAGAGGTTACACTGGGCACAATACCCGGGGATATGCTTGAGGGAGGAACGATTTGCATATTGAAATCGACGGACGATCATGTACAATTCTTTGCTGAGATTTCGTCACACTTGTTACCCCTAGTAGCTGCAAAGTAGTATACCTTCTCTATAATGGTCTTCATTACATTATTTGTGCCAGTATTTTCAAAGTCCCCTTGGCTCAGATCCATGGTACAGCTTTTCATAAAGCACGGCCGATGGCAATACTGCCTCTCGCTCCACTAGATGAGTATGGCAAGGGAGGGAGGACATGAACGGACAGTCTGATCCGGGCCGACGTTGCGATCACAGTGGGGAGCGCCTGGTGCGCCCCGCCGCGCTCGGTCGGCGAGATCGCGTCTTGAACGCCTCCATCGTCGAAGCTGTCTCGCACATTTTACACCTTAGGACAGAGCTGTAATTCCTGTGCTTTGCTATGTCTAAACCATCAAGCCCTCCATCGACCCCCTTGCGCTCACCGCTATCCCGACCTCCGTCGTCGCCGTCACCACTCCGACCGAATTCGCCCACGACGCCGCGTTCTGTTTCCAGTCCTGCCACCGTGTCCGGCAGACGAACCTCGGCACAACATGCGCAAGGTGCCCCGTTGACGCCAACACCGCCTCCAGGAGGCCCCCCGCAGAAGACGAGGGCAAGAGATCTCTTGAGGAAGCACTATGGCTTGGGCGTAGGACCGCCAGCACCGTCAGGCGGGAAAGGCGTGGCAGACCCGATGGACTTGGGTGAGTGTATGCGTGTAAAATATTGCAATGCTTATGACCTCATATATGCGAAACAGATTCGACCGCATTTGACGCAAAGGCGTACTATGAACAGCTCATTACCACGGCATCCCTTCCTGCGTTGCTTCGTAAAGAGAACGAGCTGCTTACAGGTGGGTTTCTTTCAAGTAATGCTCGATCACCGTATCTATAACGCTACTCTCGCAGAGATTCGGGAGTTAGACAGTGAAAGACAGTCGTTGGTGTACAACCACCACCACGAGCTCATTGCGGCGAGCGATACGATAGCAGCGGTTTGTCATTTGACCTAGTATACCACCCGAACGTCTTTATGAGCTGATGTACGTCCCTAGATGAAAGCTCGCGCCGAGAATCTCGATGCCGAGATGGATCTTCTGAAGGCTGCTTTCTCTGAGATCTCACGTCTATCCGCCGAGGTTGCGATCGAGCATGCCAGGGCTGGCGATGCTGCGTCGACGCCACCTTGAATTGTGATCTCGTTCTCCAGTGGCGTTTCGATGCCAAGCTTCGGTTACAAGTTTAGAAGATATGTGGAGTGTGGACAACTGTAACAGAAAATTTAGGACGTCATCAATGTGCAGTATATTCTCTGCCGGCAATGACGCTGAACTGAAGCTCTCCTGCAGCGCAGGTGGTCCCTGTCGGGGTTTGTCCCTGCTTTTTCACTAATCGAGTGGCTCTGGCATTCTTCCCATCGGGGCTCCGTGGTTTTCGTGGCGCTGTAAATGAGGAATACAAGATTCGCAGGTCGGACCTGTTTTTCGCCGACCCCACCGCAAGACATCACAAAGTTCGGCTGAGTTCCATTCCGTTCTGCCGCATGTTGACATCTTGCATCAGATCTTATCGCTCATATAACCCCGCTGTTCCGCAGGTCCTCCACGTAGCGTGGCCCCCTTCGTTCAAGAGAAGAGGACTGACTGCCCAACATCTCCTGACTTATCAACAGGACACCAGTCCATCATGGATCAGACTTCCGAATTTGCAGCGGAAATACCACTTGCTAATGCCCGCGCGAAGGTATGTCTATCGTGTGAAATAACTATATTAGTACAACTAATCGTCTGATCATCGTCTGGGATAGAGTGCATCAGGTGCCATATTACATGGGTGGGAAGGCATTGAAGAACACCTTATGAATAATGATGAGGGGAGAATGAAAGGATATTCCGAGGACATTGACAATTTACTCTTCTTCGTAAGCTTGAACTCTGTTTTGTTTTTGTTTTGCACAGAAATAACATGGCCTATCGCTAGGCTGGTCTGTTCTCTGCTATATTGACTGCCTTCGTGCAACAGTCATATTTACTGCTCCAAACCGACCCTATGGAGACCACCAACCAGCTCCTCGCATATGGTATCTCCAGTGGAACTGTAGACGTCTCTGCCAACCCCCTCATTCATAGGAAGATAACGAGGATCTTAACCGCAGAAGAGTCGCCCAGCTCTCTGAATTCAGCCCGGTGGATCAACGCACTGTTCTTCGTCAGCCTTGTTCTGGGCCTCGCTGCGGCACTTCTAGGCATCCTCGCAAAGCAGTGGCTACGTGAGTACATGCACTGGAATTCGCCGCTGGCTCTCCCCCGGGAAAACATTCTTGTGCGGGAGATGCGCTTCGAGGCCTGGCAGATGTGGAACGTCGCTGCGACCATCTCGGCTATCCCTGCTTTACTCGAGGCGGCGATGATCTTATTCCTCGTTGGCATGGTCATCCTCTTGTGGACACTAGATGACATTGTGGCGATCGTTGTCACGGTGATAGTCGCCATATTCCTCCTCGTCGTAGCTGTCTTCACGGTCCTCCCCATCTTCTCCCGCCGCTGTCCATACAAGTCTCCAACCTCATGGGCCCTCGTCACCACGTTCCATGCTTTGTCGGCATCCATCGAATGGGCCAAGGATAATATTTGGGTCCTTTGGCGTCGCTGGGAAACGCTGACGGCTGCTCATCGAGACTGGTCCCTACAGAAGGTGTTCAAAGAGGTGGTCCACGGTAACTCCCTTTCTGGGCGAGAGTTCCAGTTCGTCCTGTGGCCATCGGCTCTCCCGAAGAACTGGAGAGAACGCGATCTCGGAACCTGTCGCGCAACGGACGTGCGAGTCGGCGAATGGTGGTCTACACGACTGGACGCTCTCCCAGCAGCGAAGGAGGCGCTTGCAAAGGAGAAGATCCATCTCGGTGAGGATGGAGAGCTCATGGGGACCCCCCAACCCGAAGATGTCCCTGATGAAGCCGCACGAGAGCTGGTCACCTACGTCACGGAGACGGCGTTTCTTCTCCGCGCGCTGTCCTGGGTGCAGATGTCTTCCCAGGACGTTCGTGTCGGTGCCTACATAGCGCAAGCTGTGGAATCTATTCGACGGGATATAAGCAAAGACGCCGCAGCGCGCTGGTCCTCGGGTATCTATGCCACAGCCAACTGGTGCATCATCGCGTCACTGCAGGACGGTACCATCTACCAGCCACACCTTGCGCTGTTTCACGGCAAAGTCAAGAACAGCCGTACCAGCATAACCGAAGTTCGGGCAGGGCTGGATGTCTCCATGGCTGGTGATCAACTCACGGTGCCTTCGAGCGAGGGTAAAAGCTGGCTTGAAGTAAGGCGAACGCGAGGCTCAGCGCAAGGTATACACTCCATGCTCGCGCGAATGCTTGCAGTTGACTTCAACCGGTTCTCCACGGATGTCACCGGAACCGACTCTGCCTTGCGTGTGAGACGGCTGATGGAACTCTACGCTGTTGTCTCTGACCATGATGTCTCTATGCCTCTACCGGCGACAGAATCGCGAAATTCTGCAAGTCTACGCCCCTTGATCAATGCCCAGCCGCGGTCGTGCCCTGCCGGTGCTCGATCTTTGATCTTCGTTATGGCTTGCCAGCTCTCAAGAGTAACTTTCGACACGGAGAACAAGAAGCTAGGTCGGTCTTCCTAATGTGTCCCGTAGCGGCTGTACTGACCCTGCGTAGTCACTTGCCCCGGTTCTACTCGAACCAAGGACTATGAAAAGCTCCTGCTGCACTACTTCGACACCGATCCCTACACATGGAGCATTGATCTTCTCGATATGTTCGTACACGCTGCATCAGGATGGCTTGTTGAACAGAAGTCCCTCGCGTCATCTGAAGATGTAACCAAGATCATCGGGAAAATGATGCAAGCTGGCGAAACCCTGCTTCAAAAGACGGCGAAGCATGTGTACGGTGTCCGACACGTTAACGATGAAGAGTGGCTCTATGGTTTGTCCGTCCACATGCATAAGGAGCTCTTCACAGCACACCGTCCTCCGCTACGTACATTGCTTCACACCTTCGAAAAGCTTTTTCTCCGAGACGCGCTGCTCGGCGACCAGAAGCGCATTTCCGCATATTTACATGATGGGCTCCAGACACTTCATAACGACATCACGAAATGCAAGGACGAACACTGTCGATGGTCCTCGCACCGTTGTGACGCCAGTGACGATTACCTGGACTGTCCTTTGTTGAAGAAGCCCGGTTCTGCAAACGTCGGCCCCGTACCCCAAGGGTCGTACGACGCGCTCACAAGCGAAGAGGAGTCTTTCCTGTTTGGCGATTGGGGCGGCGGTAACGACCGTCTCCTTCCAAGCGTATCTCGTGCGCGGTTCGGCATGAATGACGGCGACGATGAGCGGGCCCTCTCTTCTAACCCCAACTCTCGGCCCCTGCTCTTCGACTCGCCATCACAGTCCATGTCTGCTGCGTACCCTAGCCCCTGGTTGTCGCACTCCCCTACACCGTTACACGAGTCGCCGGTCGCTTTACGAGCAGGAACACGTCTCGTTGAGCCGACCAGCCCGCCTATACGCGCCGCTTGTTTGGCCTTGCAGGAGTCGGGAGACATGCTAGACGAGTCTGCACCGGGGAGTCCGCACGTGCGCGATGCAGCCCAGCTGTTTGCACTAGATGCAACGCCAACTGAGAGGCGTGATGATGGGCTCTCAACGCGGTATCTGTACGAGGTTCTGCCGCACGAAACGGACGAGGATCCAGGCGAGTGACGGCACGGGATACTAGTAGCTATCCGACATGATACACAGTGTTAAAGGACGATACATGACGGCGCATACGCATACACAACGATGTATACATTTACAAGTTCTGGACTGGACAGCGAGTCTTATAGCTGGGAGTTTAGCCGCGATTTAACGCTTCTGCAGCTCTCCGTCGATGTAAACATCGAACTTCTCATCATAGAAAGCGACAAGGCCCTCGATCTGCAAGCACTCCGGGTTCGCATTGCGATACCACCACACACTATTCGGTTCTTCTGTACCGTTCGGCAGCCGGATGGCGTAATAGTTCGCGACGCCCTACCGCCAACCATCAGTGCGCCGTATAATACAGAACTGCACGACAGCACCTTGTACGGACACTCGGTAGTATGTTGTGACTCTACCCAGAACTGCATATTGCAGTCGGGCTTAGGAATATAGGTACGCCTGCGGAGTCCAGTCTCGAGTAGGAACTTGGGCCTCCTCGTATCTGCTAAGACTTGGCCGTTGAATTCGACGCGGACGTGGCGGGACGATTGTAAGACGTCCACACGCTGCAGATGCAGATGAGGTCAGGTATCTTTCACTGCGAAGGTCTGGAGTGTTTACCTTGTATGGATCCTTAGGGTGAACAAAAACCTGCTGGTCCTCCTCAAGCCAAGCATCCATTGCACCGAACAGGATGGAGATGAGTCCTTGGAGTTCCCCTTCGACGTACTTTGTTGCAGCTCCAAGAGCCCGGTTACTCCCTATGACAACATCATAGACCTCGTACTTGCTATCATCGGTAGAGTTTAGGGAGCGAGCGAGATATTTCTCGGGCAAGTCCTTTGCTTCGAAGAAATAAGTGGGATAATAGGACGAGACCCATCTATAAGGACATGGGTGAGCCCAATGACAACGTGCAATGGCCGCGTGAGTATACATACACAAGCTTCGCGTTGTATGTGTCGACGATGTACTGTCCGCCGAAGAGCACCCTAACACGGCTTGGAGCACTTTCAACGTGGGGGAGCTTGAAGAGGGAGTGGGACATGGACATGGTAGTTGGCGAGAGAACCTCAAGGGACTTCTCGTCGCATATAAGGGGCACATGCGAAGGGCACTCGCCCGTCTGACTAACATGCGAGGAGCTGTTCGCTTACAGCTTGCTTACAATGACGATGAGACAAGCCACACGGGGGCAAAGAACGGGCATCGTGAGTGTCACGCGCTAATGGGCCACGATCACATGACTAGTGTATAACGCGTGCCCCGGCATTTTCCTGCCGCCCGCAACGAGCGCGTCTGCTTCCGTCTGCCATTCACCGACTACCACCACCGTCGCCAGCGGTTGCATAGCATTACACTGAACTCAATATGTTGCCTCGTATCGACGATGACGAGGTCGTTCCCACCAGTGACGACGACGAGATGCAGCAGATGCGTTCCGATCCGCTGGACTTGCTTGGCGATGGTGTCCGTGAGTGACTACGCTTTATCGCGCATACACTGATCAAACCAGCAACCATAGGCACTCCTAAAGCTGTGGACACAAGCTTGGAACTGAATGACAAAGCCGCTGGAGGTTTTTTGCCTTCTCAACCACCTATTACTTTTTTGGCTGGAGCCACCGAGAAGTTGTCGTCAAGTCCGCATCCATATGAATTCCAGTGGGACTTAGCAGACTCATCCATTGCAATAGCTATTACTAGCGGCACTTTTGGGTCTTCAGCAGCAGGCCCTCATCCCGCGATTGTTGCTGCGGTCACACCGGTCATCCAAGAGGCTGCATCAGTGCGGCGTGGGCCAAAGCCACGGCCAGCTTACAAGATTCGCCCTGCTACAGAGGACGGAATTGCTCAACCGACAATGTCTACTTCAGTTATCAGTAACGTTCTCACACCCGTAATGCCACACCCGCAGCTACCCACAGATCCCATCGAGACTGCTACTACTGTCTCCAGTACAAGCAAGGGAAAGGCGAGGTTAATCGAAGATAGTATTGAATCATTCTCACTGGACATCGCTGAACGAGCGAAGATTCGGTCTCGAGTTAAGACTATCGCAAAGACATTTGTTGTCGAGCCAACCGACATCATCGAATTAACCTCAGAGTCAGAGGATGAGCTTCTACTACCTTCTTCTAAGCCGAAGACTAAGGACAAGCCTAAGAAGATCGCGTCCTCGAAGGCGGCTCCAGCGAAGAAGGCTCCTGCTCGCAAATCTCCTGCCAAAAAAGCACAAGCTAGTCATGGAATAGAGGCCCCAGACTCGACGCCAGTCACACTCCCCGTACCCACTTCTGACCCAGTACCAAGTTCACAACTACCGCCGTCGGATCCGCCGCCACCGTCATCTGTTAACCTGTTACCAACGTCGACGCCTGTACTCAACCTTAGTCCTCCGCTTTCCCCTCCACCTGCGCCGCCTGCACGCAAGCGTAAGCGGCCAGCACATGCAGACTCAGATGATGAAGACGCTGCTGCTCCATATAGATCTGGAGTGGTGACAACGGCATCCGCGGAATTCATGCCTCCACCTCCGCCTCCGGCGTTCTTCGCATCGTCCTCCCCCCCTGCCGGTCCCTCTGGCCTTGCTTCCTCTAAGGAAGCTTTCGGCCCACTTGAGCAGTCAATGCTATCTGTACTGGAACCCAAGGCCAAGGGTCAAGGGCCGGAAGAAGGCCGCTGATGACGAGGACGAGGACTGGATGGGGGATGATCCGAAGCCAAAACCAAAAGGCCGTGGTCGTAAGAAGAAAACAGAGGAGGAGGAAGACGAGGACTGGGACGACAAGCCAAAGCCTAAGGCGAAGGTGAGGGCGAAACGCTCTCCCAAGAAGAAGAACGATGCCTTCCCGACTGCAACAATGGAGGGAGCAGACCCGGACACTGTGTTGGTTCCCAAGCCGAAGAAGGCCCCTGCGCGAGGGCGAGGAAAGAAGGCACAGGCAGCCGCAGCAGACGCTGTTGAGGGCGCGGAGGAGGACGATGCTCCAGCTAAGCCGGCGCCAGCGGCAAAGAAGGCTCCTGCTCGAGGGCGAGGAAAGAAGGTGGTGGAGGTAGTTATCGAGGTTCCGAGTCCAGTGAGGCGGTCCGCAATGACTCATAACGATGGTGAACAGGCAGAGGAACCATCGGCACCAGCTCTTGCGCCCCAGCCCCTGGAGTCTGAGCTATCTGCACTGGACTCCGACGAAGAGGGGAAGAGGAATTCTAGTGGAAGAAGCGCACTCGAGTCTGAAAAGCCCGGCTCGAGTAACGTTAAAGGCAAGAGCAGGAGGAAGAAACGCGCTCTGGTGGTCTCGGATGAAGACGACGGAGACAACCGCCCACTATCACCCAAGAAAGCGAAGATCACTTCCGAGTCTGACGACGAGCGAAATGTCTCTGGCCCAACGGAGACCTCTAACCGCGAGGATGCGCAGAACTCATCATTTAGGGGACCTCTACCTCGCACTCCAGCTCTCAGGCCATCAGTCACCCCGTCCTCCGCTTCGACAATGCGTTCCTTCTCACATCAGATCCCCAAGGCTAAAGGCGTCTCCATGTCCGAACTCATCCGGCGCGCAAGTCAGGCACAGGGCTCGCCCGTTCCCTCGACTGTGTACTCCCCGCTAATCAAGATGTCCAAGGGCACGCTCCGTAATATTGCGCCCCTGCATCCTAACAGGAAACCGCCGCCACCACCACCTCCGCGTCCACCCCCGCCGAAGAAGTCAAAGAAAGAGCTCGAGCTTGAGGAGAAGTGGGAGATGGAGCTCGAGGACGAAGTTGAGGGATGGCACTCGCTTTCTAATGAAGAGCGCGCGAGGCTAAGACGAGCGAAGCGGGATGCGTACTATGGGTTTGATGACTAGCATGGACGGTCCAAATGCTCCGCATTTCCATACTTTATCAACCGAACTTCTATGCGTGAATGGGGGTAATTACATTAATACTACTATATACGATACGTCGCTAAGTCATGGCCGGCTCATACGTCGCGCAGCGTAACACCTAACTCGGGCTTGGTACCAAGCGTGAGCCCAAGAAACTTGACAGGCACCCGGAATCCCAGCATGGGGCGCCTTGCGTACTCGTCCGCGCCGCGAAGCTCAAGCATCGCACGCACGCCGAGCTGCGGGATGATCACACGCACGGTGTTCCGGCGCAGCGTAGCATCGGCGGAGCTCTCTCGGATGGCAATACCCTCGAGGTTGTCGAACGGATTTGGGCCCTCAGCGAGGTTGCGTGGGTCCGCGCGCCAGCGGTCTATGTATTTGAGGGCCCAAAAGAGGTGATGACGCCGCTCGAGAGCACGGAGCGCAACTTCCTTCGTTGTCATCTCTTTCGCGAACTCCGTCATCCAGTCGTGACTGAAAAGCGGCTGCACCGGAGTCCCATCCGCCGCGAGGGCGTGCTTGATCTGCCAGTGCGAGACGAGGTCGGCGTACCGTCGCAATGGCGAGGTCACACGCAGGTAGCCCTCGCCGTCGGGCACGCCCATGACCCAGTGCCCCTTCGTTGACACCTGATTGTCACCCTGTGGGAAGCCGACCTTCTTCTTCATGATGTCCTCATAGGGAATATAGGTATCAGGGTCGCGCAGCGAGAGCACATCCGCCAAGGCTTCGTCAGTGGCGTCTGGAGCGGTCGATGTACGTCGAACAGCGGGGATGTTATGATCACGGCAAAATCGCGACGCGACGCGACAGGCAGCTTTCATTGCTTCCGCAACCATTCGCCGCGCACCGATTTCGTCGTACGCTTGCTCTCCAACTTCATAGGTGAGCTGAGGGAAGCCCTCGAAGATATTTGGATGTGTCAGATCCGTGGAATTCGGTGGTGATGGCTTAGAATCCATAGTGACCTTCACCGTGGGTGCCGAGAACCAAAATCTATTGGACAAGAACCGATTGGCCACGAACTTGAGGGAGATGTTATAGAGAGTCCGCAGCTCTTCAACTTGTGCAGGTGCAAGAGAAGGAGTGACAAGTCGGGATTCCAGGTTCGCTTTTCGTGCGAAAGGCAAGAACTGTGATCTAGCAGGTAGACCCAAAAGCTTATCAACCTGATTATACTGCAGAACATGCACGTTACGTAGAAGCCCTGCCCGGACTTTGTAGTCCGTGATGTCGCCGAGCTCGTTGACCTTGCAGCTGAATGTGAGAACATTCTCCGAGAGGCCGTTCCTAGAATTTGTACCAAGACTAAGCCCGTCGTACATGAAGGCAGATGGGATCATCGGCGTCGTGCTGTGGATGTCGTAAGATGTAGTGTACTGTATACGAGCCTGGCGTGCCAGTGTATGATTTGGGTGGATTTTAAGAGTGGGATCAGCGACGTGGACATGAAGCCAGTACGAGCCCGGCTCGGAAGGAATTGATTCGATAGACAGCGCGTCGTCGAGCTCTTGCGCGCCTTCATCGTCAATGACGAAGGCAGGTAGGTCCTTGAAGTCATGCCGCACGTGCTCGACGATATCGCGAGGGTAGAACTCTTCGGGACTGAGACTCGCACCAGATGATGTTGAGGTAGAAGGCGCTGGGATGCTCGTTCTCGACGGAACGCATAACAGGGCCCTCTCCCTGGTGACGGGATCGTCCCACGGCGCGACCACGCCCATCTCGATGAGGAGCTTGTGAACAACAGCCTGATCGACCTTCCCCTCGGACAAACCCATCCGCTTCATGACGGTAGCGACTGGAACAACGTAAGGATCTTTCTGTGTCGAACGCGTCGATCGGACGAAATCGTGGAGCACGCGAATAATTGCTTGCTCTTCCGAAGTGAAGGTAATGGAGATATTCGCACGGCCCGCAGGACTTGAAGAAGAGGTCTGATCCATGCGAGATGTTGCGACAAGTGTTTTCGCCTTTTTGTAGAAGCCGTCCAGCGCTGGGTCGCTGACTGCAAGCATTCTCGAAACCGCCTCCAGGTCCCCAAGGGGCTGCCGAGGACGAACCCAAAACTTTTGTGTTTCCAAGAAGCTGCTGGTCTGCGCGATGAAGCGGTCGTGGTTCGCCATGAGGAACTTGTGCACGCAGAGCTGCACAAGAACGTCTTTATCGCCAATAGTCCTCAATATCTCCGCCGTCGTGATTTCCTGCCAATCCTCGGAATTTGCCCACGGCGCGTCTTCGAGGATGCGGTGGATCTTCATTGAAACGCTCTGATAGTTGGTTTCAACCTCCTTCTCCAGCGCGCGTATCTTTTTCAGGACGGCAACTCGAGCCGCGATTGTTTTGGGGGGAAGCTGTTCTTCTTCTTCTTTTTGAGGGTCGTAAGCCCGCATGATGGTAGGCCGATCAACCAGACCTGGGACGGCGAACATGACATCTTCTGGCAGGTGCACCCAAGCCTCGCCTGTACTCAAGAGACTTAGGATAGTGCGGTCATTGCCTACTTGTTGGGAAAGCATTACCACGCCGTGGGAAGTAGTCAAGTTACTGCAAACATGATTAGATGAGTGCTCGGTAGCAGTGGATGAAGGGTATACGTACCGTCGTACCTCAACGAACGTCCCCGGAGAGAATCTTTTAGTCCTCGTTGCTTCAACGTCTGGGTCTTCTATCTCGGCGGCCTCTTGGAAGAACTGAAGTTTCGTCTGGGTGGCCATGTCGGATTTTACACTCGCCTCAAGGGTTTTGTACTCATGCATTGTCTTTGGCTTATGAATAACGTTATGGCGTATCGTAATGAGTTTGTTGGTTCCTTGGTAGACTTTCCGTGAAGGTTCTTTGACTTCGCGAGATCCCAGCCTGTACATGCCGTCTACGGGACCTAAGAACTGCCTAGTCTTCGGCGGCGGTGGCAAGTTGGATTTGCGTTTCTGTTGCCAACCCTGGGAAGGCGTAGGACGACGCGCATGATCTGCAGCGTCTTCATGTAGAGTTCGGACTATGAGACAACTGCCAGGAACGCGAGATGGGATGCACTGCAGCGGACGACAATGCATCGAAAGCGAACGGATTGAAGGAGGAGATGGTTGCGCGCTAAAAAGTTGACCACGGTGGACGCTTTCGGATTTTCACATTCGTGTGTTTCGTTCCCTCTTGGGTCTTTGGCCTGCTTTGCCCTTGCCACTCGTGGATCCACCATCTCGGATATGTTCAAACGCGTACAAAAGCGGGTATGGAAGCTGGAGAAAGAGGAAGAGCTGGGACTGGATAGCGAGATGAAGGAGGTGCTGGGTTTGCAAGACACTGACTCCGAGGAGAGCGACTCTAGCAGCTCTGAGTCAAGCTCAGATGACAAAGGGGCTGATTGGAGGGCCGAAGATGGGGACGTCGAAGAGGAAGAGGTCGAAGAGGATAGTGAGGAGGAAATGGAAGGTATGGAGAGTGAGGCAGGAGAGGATAGCGAAGCCGAGAACGAGTTCCCGCCAATGTCCGTCACTCAAGCC